CTCTGGATTTTATTGTTTGAATGCAACAAATTCCCAAGGCAGAATTGGAGATATCACGATCTTTTTAAAAAGGCGGTTTGATATATAGTATTGCAGCCAGGAAAGATTGGAAGTTCTGTTGTATGTATTAATAATTATATTCAGTTGGTGCCGCTTAACTTTCACTTGAATGTGGAAAATATTCTATATAACAATGAATTACCAAAAGACTTTTTTTTTTTCATCAAAGAAAGTCCTAGAACTGGATTGGGTCCTGGGATGACTTGAGAGATCGGGAAGGGTTTCTATTGAGCAACCTCGTGAAAATTACCCTCCACCTTGAATTTTTATCAATGAAAAAAATGGGAAAGGGGAAAGAAAGAACTGATATGGAATTTTGTATTAAAGACTTATAGTCTACTTTATTTCTATTACTTAAAATTAACTCCAGGTTTAGAATATTTAATTTTGAATTTAAGTAAGGAATGTACTTGCACCAGTTTGTTAAACTTGAGGGGTTAAGTAAAAAATGAAGTTGAGTCAAAACAAAGCTACTATTTTCTCAGCCTGATTGAAAGAATCAAGTTGCCTGTAGCTAAGTGCTCTTGCATCAGTAGTTGGAAATTGGCATTTGAGCATCTTGTCCATGTTTTCACTGGGACTGTGGCAGGGGAAGGAAAAATGGTGGGAATTGCCTTTCATATTTGTAGTGATAAACCTCCCAAATTTGGGGAGTTTTGTAAATAAAATTTAATGTGGAGAATCGTCACGTTAAAATGTACTGTGGAAAACTTCAGTATTATGCGTGCTGTGCTAATCTGAAATAAACTACTATTGAAGTCAATAGGACTTACTCCTGATTAGACATAGGTGGTTTCTCCTGATGGTTTTCTAACTAGCTTAGATCAGCAACAATGGGGGAACAAATAAAACATATTTCAAGAAAATTAAACTTGTAGATTTGCAGAGTGACCAGAAATGGCAATAACAGAATCTTCAGAGGAAACTAGTGGCTATTAAGCATACGGTATTTAATGTCTTTCAATTATATTAATTAATTTTAGCAGAATTTATACTTAGTTTTATTAGGGTTACACTAAGAAGCTCATTCTCAAAAAATATTTTGTTTACACACTTTTGTTGCAGGGGAAAACAAAACATCCAAACATATTAAACATTTATTCTGATGGTGAATCATTTTGCCTTCCACATTCAGAATACATTTGAAGAGTCAAACCATCTAATATCCCATTAGATCCTTATTTAGAAAAATATTTGAGAAGTTTATATCTCATTTTAAAACAGCAAGGTTGTAAACAATAATACTATGAAAAAATCTAAGAAAAATCCTGAGAGAAAATTTGACAGAATGGAAATACTACATTTTAAAAAAAAATACTTGATCATTTAAGCTATATTGTACTGATAAGATCTGGTTTCATTTGAGAAAGTCAGCTTTAATACCCAAATGATTATGACACTTTTCTTTTTCTGTTTGTACCCATTGTTTAAAAGTCTGACTTTTAGACATCCAGAGAAATTGCAGAAGTTGCACATCACATAGACATTAAAAGAGTTGTGTGAAATGTGCACATGTATTCACATCTCGAAATTAATAAAAGATAAAAATCATGAGATGGGAACAATGGCAGATAAAAGACCTGTTGTAACAAACTGATTTTCATAGACATGTTGCAAACATAGCCGTCTTCAAAAGGAAAGATTTCCTATGGAATGCTCTGACATGTTTAGACACCTGACATAATCCTAATTTTTAAAGCCAATTCTAATTAAGAAAATAGCTAGACATTTAAAAAACAATTTATATCGGAAATTACAGAGAACAAAGAAAATATTTTAATTAGGTTCCTTTTGCATTCTTTCAAATACAAAATTTGTATTTTGTATAGATTTCTCCAACAATACTTAGTTTGGGTGTGGATTATCAGTGTTCTTGATTTCCTGCTTTTTCTTCATTTTTCTCAGACACCCCTCCTCAAATACAGAGTTAATTTTCTTTCTAAAAGGGATTGCCTTTCTTTATTGACCTGGTTTCCAACAAAGTAAACTGGGGCGCTGCTGTACTCTTTCATTGCTCTTCTCATCCATTCTCCATTTCAAGCTATATGAAAACTCAGGAACATTTCCGAAGGAAAGGCCTCAACAAATTTGTGTATAGTGAGGAGAAGGGGAAAGAATGAGAGAGGGAATAGAAGAAAGACAACCTTGGGAGAAAGTTGAGGGTGCTGGCGGACTATTGGGAAGAGTCTGGGCCTTCCTTCGCTACTTTCCACCTGGCAAGGAAGGGGGCAAAGAAGTCTGCAGAATGGCACTCCTTTCAAGGAAATTTGCCACCCATATGGAAGCTCAGCAGAAGGCTCTTTATGCCTTGAATTCAGCTGCACCTTTCCCAAATCTCCAAGTGCCCCACCAGTTGCCTAAGCCCAGAAGAAACAAGCTGAACCAGAGATGGGGGCTGCAGGTCACCCCTACCACTTTCTCCACCCCATCTCTTTCAATACCCCCTCTCCCCCCCCCCTCTGCCTTATCGTTTCTCTTTTGTCTGAAAGGAATACACAGGCGCCCTGGGCTGCCCAAAGGAGCCCTTCCCATTACAGTATTGAGCTTGCTTTCCAAGTCTGTTGCCCCCTTTACCCTAAAGGACACTTTTTCTTGAAAGCTTCGGAGGCGGTGGTGCTTTCGGTCAGCTTTCTGTCGCCTTTGTTGGAGACAAGCTGAAGTTGACTGCCAAAAGTGCTATAAAAGCCCAGGTCAGTTGAGAGCTGTTTTTCGCCCCCTTTGTAGACGCGCCGGGTTCCAAGAGCGTCTGAAAAGCTCCTCTCCCGCAAGGGCAAGGGGGCTGTTTGCTGTACAGCCACAGAGGCGGGGCGCGACTCTGTACAACGGTGGCGCCTTTGTTATCGCTGGAGTTGGGGGGCGGGAGAGAGACCCTTCAGAAAAGGAGAGGAAAAGCACTTTTTATACCAAGAATGGGAAAGGTTGGAGCGCAGAGCAGGTATTTTGCTTGGTTCGGGAGAAAGAAAAAATTATGGGAAAGCAAAAAGTCAACTTGGCAAACATCCCTGTTGCATATTTCTGTAAACCTCCCACACAAGAAACAAAAAAGAAAGAAAGAAAAAGAAAGAAAAAAAGAAAGAAAGAAAGAAAGAAAGACAAAGGAAGGAAGGAAGGAAGGAAGGAAGGAAGAAAGAAAAAGAAAGAAAGAAAGAAAGAAAGAAAAGAAAAGAAAGAAAAGAAAGAAGAAATAAAACCATTTTATAGTACCACACAGACTCTGAGTAAGCTGTAACCGGTCCTTTGATGACACTCTTATCTCCTATTTTCATCGACTCTATTGGCAAACGTGACAAAGACGGAGATTAATTAATAATTTCAAATTCAGTTTACAAACGTTGAAGGCCCATAAAAATTATTCCAGCGATCCAAAATAAAGAGTTCATTAAAGGGATATGTCCAAAGCGGTTGATTTGCGATGGTTTCCCTTGTAAAAAAGAGAAAAGGGAGAGCAGAAGAAAAGAGGGGGAGCATTAAAAAGTATATAAACATTAATGCTAATAAATTAGTGTGTTACATTACAAAGTACTTACTAGATAATATTGATATTTACAAATTGGTATACTTAAATCAAAGGTAAAGAAAATACATAATCAAGGTATTTTTCTGCCGGAACCCAATATTGTTGGACATATCAACTGAGCCAGTTAGAATTAATTTAGTAATAAATAAACAAATCGGTCCCGACATTTAAATCCTAAGCACCCAGAATCCAGAGTAAGGATTTTCACATCCAGGTTTATTTTCCAAGGAGGGGGAAAAAGAACTGAAAATCATTATTTCGGCTCCCAAGAATTCCACTTTTCTTTTCTCTATTATTCAGACACTGGATCACTCTGCCATTAAGAAATCTGCCCTATTTTCTTGGGTAGTTTTAAAATCAATTGCCCGCAGTGCATCCATAGATCAATGTTCTACCCTAGACACACCCGAAACACAAACAGAGACACATACACAAACGCACACGAGTTTCTAATTAATTATAGCCAAAACAAGTTTATTTTCTTTTTCATCAGAATAACTCAGCCCGCAGAATTATGATGTTTGCTACCTGCCAGATCTGTGTTGTATAGCAATATTTCTTTGTCTCTCTCTCTCTCTGACTCTTGGCTCTATATAAATATAAAGACGTTCTTTTTACTGTTAATTTTGAGCTTGAGAAGCAATTCGTTTTGGGCCCCGCTTTTGAAGACCTTTCCGCCGGCTAGTGAAGGGTGTTGGGGAGAACAGAAATCCTCTAACTCTCTGAAATGCCATTTTTACTCAACCAGTGGGTAAAAGCTAATTCTTATTTCAAAGTTACAGCTTCCAGGATTGGATAGAAGGGGTCGTTCAACTTGGCAGCTGTTTCTCTGAGATTAGGTCCTTTTCCTGATTACTTGCTATCCCCAAGACCTCTTGGTATGGGAAGCCAGGACAAAAATCAAGAATATGAAGGATGAATGAGAGAGAGAAGGAAGGAATGAAGGCACTTAATGTACAAATTCAATGTCCAACGCAAAGATCGGGTGAAAACCCCCAAGTTAGCTGAAGTATCCACCAGAAGGAAGACACTAATGCTCCTTCGGAAGTAAACCGGAATAGCAGCACGCACACACACCCCAGTCTAGCAAGAAAACCACTGTGCAGACTTGACCCTAGCACACGCTGGTCGGCCGAGGTTTTCTGAAAAGCTTGGAGGTCTGGAGGATTATCTAATAGAGGGACCTTTCAGGAAGACCCCAAGAGGTTGCGGAGCGGCGCAGCCTAAAAGACAGACCTGCCTTTGCTGAGGAGAGGGTGTGGGGGGGGGGAGGAAAGAGAAGGGGCGAGAAGCAAGACCCTCCTGCTTCCAAACCTATCAGATTGGGGTCCAGATAGCTTAATTGGGGGGGGGAGTATCTGGTGAAAAAAAAAGAGTACGTACGCCCCTTTTTCCTTCTTTTGGAAGTTCTCGTTCCAAAGTCAGATAGGTATAAACTGCATTTAAATCTTTGTGTTTCGGTGTTTTGTTCTAATTTTTTTTTTTTTTTATGCCTGGGAACCCTGGGGACGATCTGTTGCTTCTCCCGAGATGGCTCCCAAGGAGGGGAAGGAGAAAGGCGGAGGGGGGGAGGAGAGGAAGAGGGCCCGCACTCATAGCTTGTCAATTTTAACATTTGGTCACGTGAGCAGCGCCTCCCTGCTAAGGAAGGGGAAAGCTTTCCACGTCAGCTTTACGTCTCCCAATTTCTTACTTCACGGCTCAGCTTCCAAGAGACAGCTGCATTAGAGCGTCATGTTAAGCTCGACTAATGCGGAAAACCCGAGGTAGCCAGCCTCGTTATGGATTTGGACGAGCGAGTACCTTGCTCCTCGAATATGTATTTGCCCAGTTGTACTTACTACGTTTCCGGCCCTGACTTCTCCGGCCTCCCTCCCTTCCTGCCCCAGAGCCCGTCTTCTCGCCCCGTGCCCTACTCCTATCCGTCCAACCTGTCCCAAGTGCCACCCGTGCGAGAAGTGACTTTCCGGGACTATGCCCTGGAGCCGGCCAGTAAGTGGCACCCCCGCAACAGCCTCCCCCACTGCTACTCCTCCGACGAGCTCAGGCACCGGGACTGCCTCCCGCCCGCCGCCGCCGTGGCCGCCGCTGCTGCCGCCGCTGCCGCCAACCGGGGCGAAATGTTCGGGAAGACCGCGGCCGGCGGCGCCTACCACCACCCGGCCACTTCCGCAGTCTCCGCCGCGGCTGCGGCCTCGTCCAGTTTCTATAGCCCGGTGGGCAGGAACGGGGTGCTGCCCCAGGCTTTCGACCAGTTTTTCGAGACCGCGTACGGCCCTGCAGAGAACCCCTCGGACTACGCGGGCGACAAGGGCACCACCGGGGGGAAGAATCCGTCCTCAGGAGCCCCCGCCGCTTCGGGAGTTGCTGCAGCTGCGGTGTCGAGTTCGGAGACTGCTTGCGACCGGGAGGCGGCGGGGGAGAAGGAGAGGCGGAGAAGGGCCGAGAGCAGCAGCAGCAGCAGCCCCGCTTCGTCTTCCGGCAACAACGAAGAGAAATCCAGCAGCTCCAGTACGTATAAAGGCAGCGCCCTAGCGCTTTTTATGAACGGGGCTAGCGCACCGCCGCTATTAAATTTTTATATGCTGTTTTATAAGCAGAGGAGGTTTATGAAGGGCCGTTAGATTTCCCCCAACAAAACTTTGTTGTAAAAGGCGAGATCACGTGGCGAGGACTGAAATTGGCCGTGAAATGCCCATCCGCCAATGGATGCCTTTAACAAAAAAAGAAACCCCAACCCCAAACTATCCCCCCCCTCAGGTGGTGATTTTTTTTCTCTCTAAATCATTAAACAAAGGACTCAACAGAGAGAGGAGGGAGTGCTCCTTGTTCCAACTCCCCAAAATATAATGCACGTTTTTCGCCTGTAAAATTTGTTCAAAAGGAGATTTCAGAGCCCTTTGATAGCCATGTAATTCTGCGATTAATACACACAAACACTTACACACATACTATAAAAGTCATGTGTGTTATTTTTAAAAGCTTAGTGGGATACTTGGATTCAAAGCCATCCCAGATTTTATGGATTGCAGGAGAACAGGGTCTAACAGATGAAGGGAGGGCCTGCAACGCAACTCTGCATTAAGAGCAACAACACTAGCTAAAACTAGCTCTTTTGTCTAAAAGAATCAGTTTCTCCTAAGCTCTGTTTGACTTAAATGTTGCCTTGTGTCCAACAATTGGTTTCTCACAACTGTTTTTCAAGCTGTCAGAGCTTGGTCTTTTTTTTTTTTAACTTGCATTTTTTTTCTCTCTTTGAAGACTTCCTTCAGCCAGTGGGGCAGGCAGGGATGGGAGACCGTTCTAACTCTGAACAGTGAAGGGAAACTTGACAAGTCCTTATTTAAATAGGAAAAGCCAGAATATTTATATATTTAATCCCTTCAGAGTTAAAATGGGAAAAGAAAATACAAAGCTCTGTTTTAAGGAAAATAGGAATGGCTTAAGAGGTTTGTATCCAGTGTGGTGAGATTGGAAGAAAATTTTTGACAGGACTGGGATTTTGAAAGTACAAAGTTCCCTTGGTAAGAATCAGTGAACTGGGTGGTTATCTGGGACAGTGAAAAGGTTGCTATTAAAGAAAAAGGACATTGGAAAAACAATTCATTTCATATTTAAACCCTGTTGACATAATAGATTGACAAGTGAAGTAAATAGAGAGATAAACATTAAGATTTTAATCAGAGGATCCAGAAGTTAATAAACTCTGGAAGTTGCATGGATTTCAGTGGAATGACTAAAACTAGAGCCAGTCCAGAAACCTTTTTTAAAAATTATTCCTAAGCTTTGATTGTAAAAATGTGGTAAAAGCATTGCACTGGTTCAACAAGCAGCAGCTGAACCCTACATACATAAAACCATTCTTGGTAGAAAATGCTGCTCAGGACCAGTCGGGCAGCGTCTGTGGAGACACTGTCCATTCTCAAGACCACAAAAGGTCCAGAGTAGAGCTTGAGGTACTATTGTTTGAAACAAGGCTTCAAAGAAAGGTCTTTTTGAATTAAAGCAGCACCTGCAAGCTATTTCCCCGAGATAAAGTGAAATTAATATACACAGCTGCTGAGTAGGAGAGATCACCACTATTATGAGACTTAGTAATAATGAGCCAAGAGCTTCTTTCTTAAAAGAGAAACATATGGATGCTCTTGATTAAATATTAGCAACAGTCCTCCCTCTAGCCACATCTGATTCCAGACTTAATGGCTTCTGCCTTTATGTTTTGCTCCACAGGTGGACAACGCATCCGTAAAAAGAGATGTCCATACACCAAATACCAGATTAGAGAATTAGAAAGGGAATTCTTCTTCAGTGTCTATATAAACAAAGAGAAACGTCTTCAGCTCTCACGAATGCTCAACTTGACCGACCGTCAAGTAAAAATATGGTTTCAAAACAGAAGAATGAAAGAGAAAAAAATTAATAGGGACCGACTGCAGTATTACTCAGCTAATCCAATACTTTAAGCTTAAAACTTGTAGTGTTTTTCTATATGAGATTGAATTCAGATGTCATCCTTGGTAAGGTCAAGCCACAGGGTTACCAATAAGAAGGAGGTGTGCAGAGGCTAGGAGGACTGTGAAAAACTAAGGTGTTTTTCTACCCTACCTCCAACATTGACCAACTGGTGTGTTTTGTTGTTGTTGTTGTTGTTGTGGCTGGGTTTTCTTTTCAAGTGGTTTTCTTCATCTTTACACATGAAGTGGAATCCATTTAACTCTTGGACCACCCTTTGCAAAAGCCATTGTATCCCTACAACTTCTTCCAATTGGGGTGAGCACATGTGAAAAGCTGGGAGCGAATTCCTGGCTTCACATTGTGGTTGTGGATTGAAAACTATGTTACCTTAATTGTGGAAAGTCCGTGGGAAGATTCCTCAGGGCATCATACATGCTGGAGGACAACTTCAAAAGGAAATGTCCCAAGTGCCTGCCGTCTCTACTTAGGCAATCCCTGACCATCTATTTGTCCTCCTGAATGACAAATTATTATTTCTCTCCACAATTATACCCCTGCCCCTCAGACAGAACAATTTCCTTTTGAAAAGACTTCAGGTAATAATTTGCCATATATGGTAAAGAAGCAATCACAGAAAAGACAGCACGGGTAGACTTGTGAAATAACTTCCATTTTAATGAATAACAATATGGGAGACAAATCATTATGCCATTATTTAAATACTAAAAGGGAATAAAAACTTTCTTAAACCTGTGTGGGAGGAGAAAAGACAAAAGATTACAATAACAGTTTTAAAATGAGAAAGTTAAAATTTAAAATGAGAGAGAGAAGTTTTTGATTTCTGTCTCAGAAACTTTCTTCAAGAAATATATCTAGAAAAGTACGGTTTTGGCAGATATCAGACCATGTTTAATTGTAATTTTGATATGTGTAATGCACTGAAATCAAAGAATGAAAACCACTAGTATTTCATAAGAAGGCCCACTAGAAGGCAATGTAAATAGAGGGAATTTGTTGTCATATATTATAGTTAGCCTCATATGTCCTACTTAGCTGTTAAGCAGCAAAATTAAAAATTAAGACTTTTTGGAGTGTGGATGTGGATGTGTATATACACCTACACATGTACACACACACACACACACACACATATATATATATATATTTATATATATATATAAATATATATATATATATATATATATATCTGAAGGAACCAAAGAGGGTGTGAGGGGGAAAGAGACATTGTTTTAACAGAAAGAAAGCTATTTAAAGTTCTATATCAGTTTACAAAGGATATTGTGTTTTATTGTAAAGGTCACTTACTGTTGAGAATATCTGAATGTATGATTCATACCATAATGGTGTTTTATAAAACTTGTATGATTTAAAATGGTTTTGTTGCTATTTTCCTAATATTTTAAGTGGTTGTTTCACTTGGAAGGTGTCAGATTTTTCTTTTCTTGTTTAAGCTATAAACTATCAAGGCTGTTTTTACACTGCTTCCAGAATGGATAAAATTTCTTTTGCGGTTGATGAATTGCAATACTTTTACATTCTATCACTGTTCTGGGGAGGGGAGAAACCTGTATTTTGTATGTATATACCGTTTCCTTTGAATATGGGAAAGCTTTTCCTTGCATGAGTACAGTGGAATCCTGCACATTGGAAATAAATATGTGAGAAATTTACAGGGTTTTTTTTAAAGATTTATGATGCACTCATGGATCTTCTTTGACCTAGACTGGAAATCTGAAACATGAGTTTTGAGTTAATTGCTTTGGTGGAAATCCCGCTCACCTATTGGTTGTACTGAATTCTGAGAAGCCAGGAGATCAAGTCTGGTATTTATGAATGCGTGGGCAGACTGCTGCTGGTACCAGGCCAGGTTTGAATAGATTGCAGAGAAAGGGGTGGAAGCAGGGGCAATCCGCCTTGAAATAATTGCAGGCTATAGACTTGGTGCTTTTCTTCATAGATGTAAAATACATTGCAAAAGCTCAATTTTGGGTGTTGGGGGGGGGGAAAGAGTCCTTTGTTCTTGTTTGTTCCAGGCACCATACACCTGAGCCTAGAACTGAAAGTTAAAGGGGGGCTCAGGCAGAATTCAAAATTGAAAGTGTGCTGATTGAAATGGATTTATATGCCAGTACTGTATGAGACTTGTGGGAAAGAATTGTCTCTAAGAATTTTCCCTCTTGAGAGCTAGCCAAAAGCATCATGAGGCATAGACTACTTACACAGTGAAACCCCACCCAGTGCCTTTGGGCAAAAAGAAGCTTATTTCCTCCCTTCTTCTTGCCATTCATAATTTAAAAAGTACGTATTTTACCTCTCTAGGTTTATTGGCTTTGAACTTCTGTATTGCTTTGGACATCACCCATAAACTTGAGGTGAAGGGCTCTGGACTTTTGCTGGTGACCCCCCACCCACCCAGCCAGACTGTCTGGTCCAAGGAAATGTTATGAAGATGGGGAGAGGGAGTGGAGGGGGAACTTGCTTGCTTGTTTATTTTGCTAACATGCTACAAAGGAATGCAACTCTTAAAAGGCACAGATAGAAAGATAGATGGAGAGAGGCAGACAGACAAGCAGGGAATAGTGGGGTGGCCATAAACATCCCACCAGCAACTTCCTTCGCCAGTTAAAAATTAACTGGTTATTCAAGGGCTAGGAGTCATGGACTTTGTCTAATTGTGGAAGGGCATAAAGGGAAGGAAGAAGAAGAGGGAAGGAGGAAGGAGAATAAGAATAAGGGTAAGGAGAAGTGTGTATTTCTAGGGCAAGCAATCATTTAAAAAATCCTATGACGTTTCCGTTTAGATAATGTCTGCACTGCTTTGGTGTTGAAAAGACTTGTTTTGAAACTGGCTCACTACTTTGTTCTGCTGACAGCCACAAGAGGGCGTTTTTCAGATCAATGTCAAAGCCGCACAGGGAGGGGAGGGGGAGGAATATTCTGGCCTTTGTTCTCCAAACATCCAGGGTGCTGTACATTATATTATTTCACTTTTCCATGATCATATTTACAAAGAGAAGGTGAATCTGATGGCTCAATTCTTCAGCATGAACTAAAAAGCTGCCACAAGTTTGCTTCTTCAAGTTTGGAATATGTCAAAGGGTGAGTATTTCTTAAATTGAGAAATTAAGAAAGAATGAAACAATTGTCACGATACAACCTGTGTGTCTTTTAAGGCAATTTAGTTAACATTTAAAGTTTTTGTAAGGGAAATAAATCTTGAAGATGTTCTAACTTTTTGGAAACTTATAATGATTAAATCTGTGGTTGTAATTGTGATTTGGAATCTTTTAAAGTTTAGTGTTGAGACTTTGAAAGCAACAAAACTACAGAAAACATTACAAAGGTTTCGTGGTTCTAGTGCATGAAGAAGTAAAAATAAGAATAAGAAAAAACAAATTTATTTTAAAAAAATAAATCCATGGATATGATGAATCTTGAGGCTTGTAAGGAAAAGAGATACCATCTATCAACTAGATCAATAGTTTCTGGTGGCATTGTTGGATTTTGTTTGTAGTTTTCTCATTTTAACTTGACAGGGCTCATCTGTGCAGAGTTGATTAATATCAATACTTGTTGTGCATCTTTTTCTTAGAGGGGTAAACTTGTTCCCCTGCACAGGAGAAGCTAGTAATTGATGAAACTGGAAGTCAAGAGAGTGTCCTTTTCACTTAACTCTCCTCCCCATTTCATATTGAATCAGGTTTTGAGTAAAGATTGAATTTAAAACAGCTACATCGATCTATATTTATTGATTTGTAATTGGTATAGTCATAATCAAAGAGGTAAATTATATGAAAAAAGTTAATAGCCTCATATCTTAATCATGCTAAACACACTAAGAGCTCAGTGACGTTAATTTTATTTTGTCTTTAGAAAATCAAACTCTGAAAAGGAAGTTATTGTTGTATTTATAAAACACAAGCCCCCCCCCCACTTACAGGATATGAGTTAAGCCTTATGCTGTGCTTCCCATTTAGTTCAACAGAGTTTGAGGATGCATTATTTCCCTTGGAAGATAAATTCCAAAGAACAAAAAAGTTTCTCTTGATTTCTGAAACTTCCAGGTAATGAACTTAGGAAGAGCTAGGTATGTGCAGAGAACTGATGTATACCTCTATACAATGTCACACGTAGACTAAATTAGGGGAAACTTCTCGGTTTCTGAAGACAAAGCATTGAACTGATCTTGTGATGTAGCTACTTGAATTAAAAGGCAGAAAGAACATAGGCTACTCAGCATGTTCCTGATCCCAATTTCTGTCAGAAGTCTTCCTGTGATATTTACGTTCTTTGGATGAGGTCATATGATGTAATAAATGTGCTGTTCCAGATCACAATCCTTAAAATTGAATTTCTGAAATGTAGAGTTGAAATTTCAGAGGCTAATTAGGGTGGCACTCAACCCTTTGCCACCAATATTGCCTGGAAACCAAATATTGAGAGAAGTATTGAAAGAATTCATAGGCAAAAGCTTCCACCCAATTCCTTAATTTCTAATCTAGATAACAAATCACACTCATTTGCCTACCCCTGTCTTGGAGAAAGAAATCTTTATTTGAAAAATGGTGCCTAAATAATTTAAGGACTCTTTCAAAGTTTTGGCTCCCCATCTCCCCATCCATTTGCTGCAACCTTTGGATATTGCTCTAATAGAGATTTTTATTTTTATTTTCTTATGACTGAAAGGCTGTCTTCTTTTTGTACGGTCAACAGAATGAAGATTTCTCTTCTATTATATTTCACAGCATCGTAATAATATCTGGCCTTGTCAAACAAAAAACAAAATATTATAAAGTGCATATATGCTGGCAGATCCTTTTTCCATTTAATTTGAACAAATATATAAATCAAGGGGACTGCTACAATGTTCCAAATATTGCCATTTTAAAAAAAGATCATTTAGGGACTTCAGTAAAAAAAAATAGTTTCTTTTTTATTTTGGGGGGTTAACAAAAACAGCACATCATCTTTTCTTCCTATGAACTGAAATAACTTTGTAAGAAATATAAAACAAACATACAAACAAATAAGCATTTATAATGTGTTGATTCCAGAGACAAGAGTCTCTGAAGTCAATAAAAAGATCCCGAATACATTAAGAGCCCCATTTCTTGGTTATGTTAACATAACATATTTTAATTCATTTTATTTTATAAATTAAATATATTGTTCATTGCCCAGAGTTATTTGTTTCAAGTGGGCAGCCATAAAAATTGAACAAGGACACACACACACACACACACACACACACACACACATTATCCAGAGTCTCACCCTCTGAAGTTCAATAGATCTGCAATATAGTATATAGGACACAGACTCACATAAAGCATGGTTTCTCTCCATCCACTTATTGATATCAAATTCATATTTCATTTCCTTATTCAAACAGCTCACTAAATTTCCACTGAAGCAAACCAGCATTAAGTGTTGAAAAATTTCTTGACAAGAGCACCATCTTAGAAATACAGGCATCTTGATTTTATTTAGGAATGGCCATGCTTCTTTATGTCAAATGTCATTTGTGGAGTGGGGGAAAAAAACCTTACAAAACGGACTCCTCATTTTAACTATAATCCACCTAGCATTGTCTAGACTAAATCTTTTTGAAGGAATGACCCACTAATATTGGACTAATACAGAAATCAATACCCTTCCAAAGGTCATTCATGAGTTGAAATGCTAATGACCTTTATTAAAAATGAATCACACGCAGGCTACAAGTAATAGAGGATTTGTGAAAATAATTACCTGGAAATATTTGTGAAAATAATTACCTGATTTGCTATTTGCTCAGAAATCCCACTGAATTCAAAAGAAAGTATTCTTACCTATAAAATTACCTGTATAAAATTATAGCCATGAATTATTTTCTTACAATCTAAGAGGTTTTGGTTTAAATCTGAAGAAGACCTTCCTTTGAATTTATACCCCACGGAGAGATAAAAAGATCATGAACATTGTACACTCCTGCTCCAAAATGTATGGGTTTAGGAAAGATTGTCTTGATTTTAGCCTAATTTTCCCCTGGATAAATATATGCTTTTAAAAGGGCATTGCCTTAATGCAATGGCGGGGCATGCCACTTAACTCAGCTAACCAATTTACAGACCTACATGTTTGGCTTGGCTTTGATTGCAAGAGAGCGATTTTTTACCACAAATAAATCCCATCTATATCAATAGGAAATCAGATAATTACCAGAAGGTGGGGTTTCAAACAGATAAGCATTCTAACAGGGAAGAAAAAAAAAATCTGCATTTGAAGTGCAAATACAAACCACATTTTAAAGGGAATTAATCTCCCAAGCTTGATCTTCATTCCTGCTTTTGATTTTTCTAAAAAAATTCAGTCACTCTTTCTTGCCTGGCAGATCTTCAAAAAGAAAATGAAAATTACTTTAGTTATTTTCTCCTTTCTTGCCCAGAGACATATTCAACAGCACAATAACAACAACAGTCACATAATGGAGAATAGCCTTTTTGAGAGTTCATCCAGAGGGGAAATTGCCTTGGTTGCAGATATCTTTTGACAACTTGATACTTTTTAACAGTAAAGAAGATGCACTGCTCATATTAATTCTATTTATGATTTATGAAATATAGGCAGAGGCCATAAATTTGGAAGCAGACTGCTTCAGATTCCAGACTTTTTCTTCTTTCTTCTCTCAATTTGTCCACCGCATAAGTACAAAGCCCAATTTAATTAGCATACAATGCTGCTTTCCAGGATTTTTTTCATCACTGTTGGAAACAATAAATGGGTAACACCTCCTTCTTCTGAAAAATAGAAAAGAAAGGAAATGAATGATCCACATAGCTTTGGCAAGTTAAAGTTTGTATTTGCTTTTCTAGTTTTTTAGTCTAATAAAATGCCTAATAATTCTATTGGCATCATCATTATATTCCTCTTGATTCCACTTAATAAAAGTTGAGTGCTTTTAGTCAGTATAGGTGGCTTCCCTCCATCCTCTCGGCCTGGCCAGATTCCAGGTCCCTTTCAGTTCTTTGGTAACTCCAGCAAAGTGGGTGAATGTGAGCTTGTTGTTTCACTGGTCCAAATCCTTTAGCTCCACTCAGTTGTGGAACTGTCTGGTTGTTTTCTGTTGTTTACACACAAACCACCTTAATCTCCTAAAACAAACATGGAGGCAGGATGAAAATAGAGTGACTTCTCAACCAGTGTTACAGAATGGTCCCAAAAAAATGCAATCACGCCCTGGTTAATGTTTGAGACTCATTGTTAAGACTTTAAAATGTGGCCACTAAACACAATGCACGACAAAGTAGTTTAGTTGCTCCAGAATTGACCATTATCTTTTAAAGTTAAGAATCAGCTGCACATTATTAGTTTTACTCCACTGGTTTTGACGAGGCAATTTGCTCTTTGCTTGCCTTGGCCTTGTTAGTGACTCAGAAAAGTCTCACAGGGGAATTCAGGCCCTTCTCACCCAGTCCAAAGCCTAAGTCACCGTGCTTCTTATCCCCTTTTATTATTGACCTCTCTGGGCTTCGGATCAGACCCTGAAGTGCCTTGACCATCAAAGACATGCATTTGGCTCCCAAAACATGCCACAATAAAAGCAACTTGAATGTCTGGTTGCTGTTGCCCTGTACTTGGGATTAAAGGAACCCACAACTCCTATAAATGCAATTTCCGGAATATGCTGTGAAATATCACAGCCCTGGAAAAAAGAAAGGGATTCCATCCTTACCCGTTTCTCTTCTTGCTGCTTTTTCTTGAGCCTGGTGTGGTTGAAGCTTAAAGGCAGAGACATATAGCCTTGTTGAACTGGGCTGATTGGTCTCCCCAGTCTTGGGGAATGGGGTGTTCCTGATAAGCCAAGACCCAGATTGTAGTGGAGCAAGCCAGCCAGAATTACCATCTTTGTTTGGGGACATATATATATTCTCCTAATATATCTGGACGCTAAGTCTCATCCCCGGCTTTTTCTCTTTCTCATTCTTTTTTTGCCTGCTGAACATCACCACCACTCTGTGATAAATTATGCCTTAGGTTAATAGTCCAGAAAATTCCAAAGCCTCTAGAAACTTGTTCATTCTTTTTAGTTTGGAAATGATAGGACAGAGGCTGGCGCTGTTCTCTTCAACCCAGCAGTTTCTTCTTTGCATCTAGGTGTGTTCAGTTAATGGTAGCCCCATTCAGGAGATGAGCCTAATGTTAAAAGTTGAAAACCATTTTGGGGATGGATTTGGACATTTGCATCGCACTTCTGTTGGCTTTGACAAAGAGAAGAGAAACAGGCTATTCGAACCAAAAGAGATTATTTATCTATTTCTTCTCATGACTCCTCTGAGTGGAACCAGGTCTTTGGAAGACGGATAGCTGGAAAGTCGCATTGCAGTATCTGTTTTGTTATTTCTGTCCAAGGTTTCGCTGACCAGTACTAGTTTTCCCAAACTAACCAACAAAACAGCTGTCTCCATCCTATTAATTTTGGAAGAAATGGTACTGCTCTAAATATCTGATTATGCTCCTGTGCTCCACATTGACAGCCTGTAACGTAACCGGAGAAATATAAACAACCTTTTCTCTCGAGGTGTGGAGGTGAATTGAGAGAGAGAAGTATATTTTTCCTTTTTGCTGAGTTGCCCTGTCTGCAGAGCTTCCTCCATGGTTCAGTTCTGCCGGAAACCATCTGAGGCTGAAGCCCTGGGTGCAGTTCTTGGATGGTCATGGTGGGAGAGAAAGAAGTTAGTGGAGAAAACGGGCCTCGGTGAGGGCTGGGGGAGGGGGGTTTTGTGTCTTTCCATAAAGATTTTATGGTCCTGCAAAGTTACAACAACCCCTTCCGGGCTTCCCTTGCACCAACTAGGAACTTGAGGAGGGGCGTCCATTTCTACTCGCCTTCGGAAAACTCTCCTCGGCTAGCCTGCCTTCTTTTTCCACTTCAAAGGGACCTGTCTGCGGGGAAGCTCTTAGGAGGAGCAGGCGGATTTCCTTCCCACGGGCCAAACAAACCCAGTAGGAAGATCCGAGAGAGAGCCGTTGGCAGATCCAGCACTCTGGCTCCCGGGGTTGGGAAGGGCGAGTCATTCGGGGAGCTTTCTGTCTCATATGAAAGCCAAGGGTAAGTGCTGCAGATGGGAGGGCAAGGGTAAGGAAGCCTCCGGGCAAAGCTTGGGCAAACCCCTCGCCTGGCCCCCTCGATTTCCTTGGCATTCCTAGCCTTTTGGAGGGCGTTGTGGGCGAAGACGTAGCGGATGCCAAAACGGAACCAAGCTAAGGATTTACTGCACAATATTGAATTGTTCAAAAGAATATTTCTTACTCGCCTGGGAACTGAGACAGCGATCAGTCAGTGCTACCAGTGCTTGGAGCACGGACGACGAAGTAAAACACGAATTGGCAAAAACCTTTTCGTGTTAAACAAGGAGAACAACATTTAAAAGGAAGCCTCCCAAAAGGTGCCAAGAGCGCTTGAGAGTTGCTCTTGCTGCGGGGACCTTGTCTGCGTGGCTTCCAGAACCATAAGAAGCCAAGCAAACGACGGGCAAGGACTCTTCTCGGTGCTTCTTCATTGTAAAATCCATCTCCCTTGTCTGCTGGTCTCCCTCTCTTGTCTGCAGGCTGTCGACTCCCTCCGCCACAGCTATATATTGACTGTATAGAATTATATAGTAGTTTTGCTATGGCCATTCCTGGATGAAAAAAGGTCTTATTTTTAAAAAGAAGAGGCGTCTCCTTTATCTAAATGCAGATATTTAGAAAGAATTCTACCTTGTTTATATAAATCAGGGTATATACTCTTGAAAAATCCTTAAAAGAAAAATCCTGGGGAAAAAAAAGAAGGATTATGGAACTGTTTTACCAGATCTTTTCATTGCCATGAAAGATTTTAGTTTAGGCTTGTGACCTGGACTTCTGGTTTAATGGATGGATTAATCGCCTTAAAAAAAAATTACCCTAAAGTCTTCATCTTGTTGCTGGTATGGTAATTCTATACAGGTTGCTTGTACTGTGATATTTTTGTTAAGTGGGGGTGAACCACTTTCTCCTAGGCAGAGGTGTTGAGAACTAATACCTCCTACTTCTTAATGTAGTGTGCTAGACTCAGAGGGAAAGAGAGTCAAACACAGGTGGGAGAATTGTCCGCATTGCTGCAGCTGGTATCTTAAGAAGCGGGGGGGGGGGAAGAGGGAGAGAAGTGGGTGGGTGGGTATCTTCTCGATCTCAGTAAGCCTTAGCTGCTAATGAGAGGCTCGGATCGGGCTTCCAACTTGAGGTGGCGAGGCTGAGAGGACCACCAACCTAGTCTAACGCCTAGGCGAACCGCGAGAGGTAGCCGAGAGGTACCCGAGACTCGTCAAAGTTGATGAACCTGTCTGAGCTTCAGAAATGTCAAGGCAGCCCACGAGTTGTGCAAAAGAGTGGGATAAGAAGAGGCTGAACAGTTCGCTAACAGGTGGCTTGTTAGTGTACAGGAACTAATAGTTAGCTCTCGCCTTTGCTCTTTTATATTAGTGCATAAGCTAATAGACCAGAACGCGCTAAATTATGAGTCTCATTAAAATCCGGCAGTGTTTTCTATTGTTTTTCTCCTCCTGCCACCTTGCCCTTCGTTATATAACCCCACGCAAGCTATTCCCCCTCTGAAAACTAGCAAAGGCGACCACGTGAAGACATGGCCTACTGCACGTGGAATACTCCTAGACATACTTGTGTGCATATAGCCACGCAGGCATGTATATATGTGAGGGCACACACACATCCACACCTCACCTTCAGTATATTATATTTTCAAATCTATACACAGACATATCCACCCACGCACCCTTCGTGCACAACTACAAGTACACGCACGCACGCACGCACACGCGCCATTCAGTCGTGGGCAGGAGAGCAGCTCGCCGCCTACGAAACCAAACTGGGAGGGGTTGTGAACGAAGGCTGGGTTTCCATTGGCTGCACGCAGTCGCCGTGGCGTGGGGGTACCTCTAATCATATTCAGCATGTTTTGCACAAGAAATGTCAGCCAGGAAGAGCTCTCTGCTCTCTTCGCCAAATTATTCCACGGAAATGGCATGTTCGGAGACTCCAGCTGCAAACGCCTTTCTGGTGGACTCTTTGATCAGCTCAGCCCCAGGCAGAGGGGAAGGAGGGGGAGGCGGTGGTGGCAGCGGACTTGCAGGAGGAGGAGGAGGAGGAGGAAGAGGCGGCGGCAGCAGCAGCAGCTACTACCCGAACAACGGTGGTGTCTACCTGCCACAGGCGTCCGATTTGCCGTACGGGTTGCAAAGCTACGGGCTGTTCCCGGTCCTGAGCAAATGCAGTGAGGACCTGCCGCCGCCGCCGCCGCCGCCGCCGCCGCCGCCGCCAAGCATGGTTCCCACTCCGCACACTTACATGTCAGGGATGGAGGTCTGGCTAGAACCCCCGAGATCCTGCAGCCTTGAAGAGCCCACAAGCCCACAGGCGACCTCTTGCTCCTTCGCTCCCAGCATTAAAGAGGAGAGCTCCTATTGCCTCTACGACTCGGACAAGGCCCGCAAAGAGGCATCGGCCACCGACCTGTCGCCTTTCCCGAGGCTAAGCGCAGAGATCTGCGCCGTGAATAACGTGGCGGCGGGGGTGCCTGTCCCGGGCTACTTCCGCTTGTCTCAAGCTTATGGCACCGTCAAGAGCGGCGGCTGCTATAGCAGCTCCCACCACCACCACCATCACCACCAACAGCAGGAGCCGCCGCCGCCGCCGCCGCCGTTGCTGCACCCAGGGCAGATGGTGGCTGCTTCCCAGTTTGCCCCGCAGCCCCAAGTGAGCTTCGAGTCTTCTCCGGCGTTTCCTCTGGCCGCCCCGTTGCCCGAGCAAGGCAAGAAAGACAGCGAGGATTCTTCCCCACCCAGCACTTTGGCCGGGGATTCGCAGAGAGGAGAGGAAGAAGGGCAGGCTTCTTCTTCTGCCGCAGAAGAGCTGTCGCCAGCCCCCTCGGAGGGCAGTAAGCCTCCTTCCGAGAAAGAAACCCTAGGTAAGGATTCCTCATCCACCCAAGGCGGGGAAGGATTTTAAACCCTTCCCCCTTCAAAAAGAACTTTTGCCAGGGCAGCCCAGCCCCAGGAAGGGCAGTTTAGACAAACCCACACAGATTTTGTGCAAGGATGCAGAGATACTGGAGACAGACTGCAGATAGGCCGGCCGGCAGATAGCCATAAATCCAGGAAAAAGCTTATACTGGGAGAGACAAAAAGGACAAACACATGTGCATATCTTCTTCTTCTTTTTTTATTTTGCAACGCTTAATGCACTGGCAGCAGACAATAGAGCATTCAGGGAAGGGGTGGGCAAAAAAAAAAAAAAAAAAAAAAAACCACACCCAAGCCAGGCCTTCATGGCCCACCATGGTGCAGAAATGCCTGAACAGATAACAGAGATGTTCATTAAAAAGCCAAAGTAAGCAAGAAGTCAGCATCCATAAATAAAACCCTTCAGAACCTAAGTTCTAGTTTACGATCTTGGATGCCTTTACAGACCCCCTCCTCAGAGCTGGGCTGAAATTCCCCCAGGCGGCAGGGTCCGGTCAGACTGCAGAGGCCCTGCCGGTGTTCCTGGAGGCTTAACAGGAGTCTTCCAGGGTAGAAATCCAAAGGGCCGTTTCAATGAATGGGAACGGCCTTAAGAGCGCCCTGGGATCACTCTGCCTGTGCCTTTTATTGCAAAGAAGAAGTTTGTGCAGCAGGCATTCCTGCTACCATGGAACATTAAGTGACAATAATAGCCACTTACTAATAGTAGTAGTAGGAATATTTCCAAACTTTTATGAAGTAGGATATTTTAATTAGTGATTGCTCATAATTCTTAAAAACCATGATGATAAGTGTACCCAAGTTACTCGTATCCAAATGCATGCAAGAATATGTTTCAGTCCAGAAGGAAAGGACACCCTAACCCTCCCTCCCTCCCTCCCTAAAATAATATTTGCAACTCTGCAGATATTAAGGAACCACCTATTCCTCTTTTTCAATATGCCAGGTGGCTAATTATCTCCTGGCAACCCATGTAAATATAATTAATCTGTAGAAGATGAATTGGTCTTCTCATCCTATGCAGATTTGCCTGTCCTGTTGAATTAAATGGCTTAAATTCCCAAATATGCAGCTGTGGGATTTTATTTATTTATTTAGCTAGTTTAGCTAGCCTGAGCTGAGTTACAGATTTGGTCTGGGGGGGGGGGGAATCTCAAAAGGGAAAAGTGTGGAGCAATTTTAAATTTAGCATCGTACTCAAGAGGCTACATTTTTACACCATCTGTCTTTTCACTTAGGAAGAGGCGCGGGGGGGGGGGGAGGGAGGGGTGTGTTGAGGTTAGGAAGAGAAATGTTTGAGGGAAAGACAAGGCACTGGCATATCTTGCTGGTGCCAACTTCAAAATCTAGCCTCTTTGCTCAGGCGCCCTGGAGAGGGAAGCAAATCAAGCGGGGCGAGGGTGCTGTTGTCTCTGGGTCTGAGTAGGGAAGACCTTCGGAAAAGGGCTTTGAAAAGAGCGCTGGGGCCCCTTGAAGGCTGCCACAAACTTAAGGTCAGTAAGAAAGCCCTCAGGTGTTCCTCTCAGCTCCTTCACGGTGTCCTTGGTAATGTCCCTGGCTGATTTTTTTTTTTAAAACTAGGCGGCCAGAAGGGAGAGAATGCAGCCACCTGGCTCACTGCGAAAAGTGGTAGAAAGAAGCGGTGCCCTTACACCAAGCACCAAACGCTGGAGCTGGAGAAAGAGTTTTTGTTCAATATGTACCTGACTCGCGAGCGTCGCCTAGAAATCAGCCGTAGTGTCCACCTCACGGATAGACAAGTTAAAATCTGGTTTCAGAACCGCAGAATGAAGCTGAAGAAAATGAACAGAGAGAATCGGATTCGGGAGCTCACAGCCAACTTCAGTTTCTCCTGATAAACCTCTGCATACCTTTGAATCGTCTAAGCAGCCCATACAATCCTGCACCCCACCCCACCCTAGCTCACCCCACCCCCAATCTGGTCAGGCTTTAACTATTGGCACCTGTGTGGATCTGAACCTTTCAATCCCACTCTCAGCCTCTCCATCGCTTCTTGATGATTGATTTCGTTGGGATAAAGCCATAGCAAGGCAAGCCCAGCACATTCCTTCTGAAGTTCCCTTCTTCTGCTCTCACTTCTGGAGACCCTGGCCCTTGAGAAATAGGATGTCCCAAACACTATGGTGCCTATTCTCTTTTCCTTACCTACCCCTTAAAAAACAAAACAAAACAAAACAAAAAAAACCCCACCAACAATCAGAAAAGTAACCTAGCCAAAGGAAAGGTGCATTCGGAACCTCCTCCACATGTTGCAAACTGGGGTTGAGTGTAGTTTTCAATCGTTTAAACATTTGACCACATCACCTCAAACACGGATCGGGTTTGATATTATTACTACTACTATTTTCTTGTGCAGCCAATGTTAAGCAGCTATTGTGGAAACAAACAAAAAGTCAGATTAAGAATCCAAAACTGTTCATTTGTTTACTCCTTTATTTTTCCAAATGTTTAATATTTCAGCTTTAAAAGGTTTTTTTTTTTTTTGGAAAACAGGGAGAGATGGGGGGGGGAAGAGAGAGAAACTGCTCCCATCTTTTCTTGAAAGATAAGAACAGTTTTATGTTCCTTAATGGTTAAATTATTACATTTTGTAGTTATGGGTAATTTTTTCTTTAGATAAATGGTTCTTTACCATTTGTTCCTTCTGTTTGACAAGCACAGACAAAGAAAAAACATTTATTGAATGGAGAAGGGGCAGAAGACCCCCGGTTTTGCCTATTCTATTCCTAGAAATGTTTGTGTGTGTGTGTGTGTGTGTGTGTGTGTGTGTTTCTCTGTGTGTGTATGTGTGGGTAATGTCTATATACACATACATACACACACACTGAAGAATTTCCTGACTGTATGAAATAGCAAAGGAGAAAATCTTTATTTCCTTGATACTGTGAAATTACATGCATTGAAAAAAAAATCAAGCGTGTAGTACAAAGAGAAGAAAAAAACCTATGAAATAGATATGTATAAATGTCTATTATTATTAAAATAATTAATATTATTAAAATACCAATACAGTTGGAAGCAAAGCATTCTTTTCCGTTATTTAGATGCTAGCTTTACTTCTTGCTCTTACCTTAAATCTTTAATAAATTAATATCCTAATGCAGCTATGCAGGAAGATAAAGCAAACTGGAGACGCTGTTGATATTTTATTGGAAGAATAAAAAGATGTCTTATGAGTTTCCATAAAACAACAACCACCATCAAATAATAATAATAAACTGTTTTGGTGTCTGCTTATTTTCAGAACTCTTATTATTAAATTTTGTGAACTTTTACGTTAAAGAATAGTTGACTAAGCCGCCTAAAATTATTTAGGAATCAATTTGAATGTAGACAGTCTTAATGTGCCTGGGCCACATAGGAATGGTGCAGTAAGATTTGTCAGCTTTTGTTCAGTTTTATGGCTTGCCAGTATAGCTGGATTGTAGCCATCTTAGAGGAAAAGTATCTTCAGTTGAGCGAGGAGCTGCACAGACTAACCAAACTGAGAATCTTATCTTTGACTGCAGAGAATTGGCACTGCTGTTGTTGTTGTCACTACTTCATGAGTATGATTCTCAATTAATCTAGTACAGCCTCTGAGCATGAACTCCAAAGCAAAACCTAAAGGACTAAAGGAAAACAGTGTGAAAAGGGGAGCCCTAAGAATTTGGATTTTAAACTTCACTGGCCTGTGTTGCAGGTTTTCTGCCATGATTCACCTGGCTGCAGGATGTGACTAGGCAGAAATGCCATCTTGGGGTTCTATGTAAACCCATATCTATCAACTGTAAGATTGAAACAATGGAATCTTTAAAGTGGGGGGGGGAGAAAGAGAAGGAAGCAAAGATTGTGGGGCGAGGTTGATGGGAATTTGAATACTAAGCTACAGCCAAAAATCTCCTCGCCCCTCTTCCTCTTTCCTCCTCCTTCCTCTTCCTCTTCCTCCTCCTTTTCCCTCTTCCCTCTTCCCTCTTCCTCCTCTTCCTCTACTTCTCCTCCTCCTCCTTGTCCTCCTAAGAGACTTTAGACCTGATAATCTTTTTTTAAAAATCAACTATTTACGGGAAGACATTTTAATCACCCACAGCCTATCTCCCCACTCTTCCTTTACTTCTTCTCATTGCACACCTCTTTATATTCTAAACATTCTACTGAAACGATTAAAAATGGCCAGTCAGATTTCCTCATATTTATAACAAAGAAGTTTGGTAAGTGGAGGTGGCGGGCTGTTGGTGGGAGAAGGGGAGGAGGACATGAGGAAGGCTCGCCTTTCGTTTACTGGCTTGTATTTATTTATATAATGGGCTGGGGTTTCCCCCTTCTTTCTTTATAATTCCTCCCCCACGCCGGGGCTCTTTTGCTTAAAGGAAAGCGGCCACGGGGAACCCTGTTAATTAGAAAGCTGAAAACTGGTCGGTGATTTAGGTAGTTTCTCGTTGTTGAGGTTGAACATTTCTCTCTCTGCAGCACGAAACTGCCTTCATCACCTCAGTTTATAATCATCAAATGTGTGCAATCCCAAACAGACGCTTAAGGAGGATAAAAGCACTGCCTTTAACTACCGAAGGAATCTGGGGGGGGGGGAGAAGAGGAGACACCCCACACACGCACACGCGCGCACACACACACACACACACACACCCGCGCGCGCGCTGTCTCCTGAGGCGTCAAGTCCCAACGCCATTGTTTCTTTCTGCGCGCCGAAATGCTGCTTCCAATAAACCAAGGCGGAGGAGGGGGCGTTAAAAAGAAAAAAAAAAGAAAGAAAGAAAGAAAGAAAGAATGCAAAGCCAAATGGAAGAGACCTTCAGGGCTAAGCGGCCTCCGTTGACTTCGGATTTTTATTTCTATTTGAAAAGGGGATCCTTTCCACAACTCCGAGATTCCTTTCAAGGTCAGGGGCATTAAATAATTATTATGCTTTTCCTGTTCGAGGAACCCATTCGGCTGCTTGTCCTTGCGGTAGGATTGTGGCCCTGGCTGCAGGCGCTGCTGCAAATGGGGTAATATTGCCGCCGTTCCTTTCCACAGCTCTACCGGTTTCCATTCTCTCTTATTTTACGGGAAGGAAGGAAAGAAGGAAAGAAAGAAAATTTGACAGAGATTTTCAGTGTTGAGCTATACTGCATTAAGGGGTGCCGGCGGGGGACGCGCGCGCACTTTGACGCCTCTCTGGCTCTAACTTCTTCTAGCGCGAGCCTTCAGCTCTCCTCCTCCTCCTCTCCCCCTTGCGTGGCAGTTTCGGTTTCACTCGCCCCCTCCCCAATTCGGTTCACCTCTTCTTTCTTTCTTTCTTTCTTTCTTTCTTTCTTTCTTTCTTTCTTTCTTTCTTTCTTTCTTGTGGAGGAGGATATGGGAGTGGGGCATCTAGGGCGTCTCGCCCTCTCGCGCGCGCGCACACACACACACACCGCTCTGGGCAAGGTGAAGACGGAGGGCCCCGGGAGGCGAGAACGCAGCGATTTCTCCAGGGCTGGCAAGGCCTCGGTTACGATCATTATTGGAATGGGTCCGGGCGCCTGCATTCCAGGGAGGCGGCATAAGCAACAGCGACCTCGCTCGGGCTGAGACGGCGTGCCGGCTCCTCGCCTTCCCTTTTATGTCCGGCAGCCCCGCGAGACGGAAGGAAGGCGCTGCGCCGTCTTGTTTACATCCACACACACACGTTATTTACCGCTAGTGTAAATGAACAAGGCTCCTCTCCTGGGTATCAGAGGGTGTGAGGGAGCGGGAGGGCGGGCCAACGTGGGGTTCGCAAGAATAGGACGTTTCTTGGTCTCTGTTTTGTCTCATCCCACTTTTAATTAAAAAAAAAAATACCTTTCAGATTTCAGACTTCAGATTTCAATTAAAGGAGGCATGGAGATAGAAATCCAATTTTTGTAAATTTGTTTTAGACCTTGCGTTTTCGTTTAATATTGGTGAAAAGCTCATATTTCGCAGCACAGGGGTTTTTTTGCTTATAACATAGGCATGTATTTATAAACACACATACATTTTATATATATAGATATATATAGATATATTATCCAGATTGGTACACACACACACACACACACACACAAAACCCCTATATATTATCCACATTGGTGGTGAAGCATGTAAATACACATCTATATATACCTGCCTTTATACACATATACATAAACATCCAAGCAGGTAATATGTGTCTCTGTGAATTACACACTTTGAACTAAGAATCATACTTCTTAATGAAATATATAAACAGGAAAAGGCTCCTTACAATGATATTGAAGAGCTATTCTTGGGTATATGTGTCCTAGAGTACTTCTCTTGCTAAGTTCTTATTTATTTCTTGGGGGGGGGCAAAAGTCTCACAACTCCTGAATTCCACAGCGTAGGGCCTCCTATCAAATTTCCCTCTAAATTTTAAGTGCTTTTGGGTGGATGTGGAAGAGATTCAGACTTGTCTCTCTGTGTGCAGGAGTCTAAATATAGAGGAATCTAACCTGTATTTGAAAGCAAAAGGAATAAGGTTTTGAAATGTCTTTTTTAAACTGGTAGACCCTGTGAAAGAAAAGAAAAAAAGAAAAGAAAACAGATCTCAACAGCTCAAAACTTTTGTTTGCTCTCTCTGGGAGGCAGGTTCAAATACTTTATCTTTAAAATTAGTAGATATTTTAAACAGCCCAGTGGTACTCCAGGGATGTTAAGTGAACACCTGCTGAGGTAGAGCATATTTAAATCAGTGGGACTTACTTAGGAATAGAATTGGGGGTTAGATTGGAAGGGGGGGATGCTGAGAACTAATATTTCAGAAGTAGGAAATAAATGTCCCCAAGCACTCTCTGTGAATCCTGTATTGTACACGAGTGGATTATGTTTAAGTGTACTTATGCATAAGGGCATGCTTAAGTACACTTTCTTGAAAATAATCCCAAATATTTTTGTTCAGGGTTTTAAAAAAAAGTTTTTTTAGCTTCCTTATGCGGCAGGGCACCACATTAAGTAATTTAATACTTACTTAAATGATAATAGAATTATAAGCAGAACCAAACCAACCAGTTTCATCCAGTTTCACATTGTTATTATATTAAAATTATACAGATTGGTTACAAAGAATTGTTGTGAAAATATGGATGTTACTGAAATAAAATCTTGACATAGGGAAGAATACAAGAGAGATAAAATTGGAACTGCCTGCTTATATCTTTTTCTATGTTATCCATTTCTGTGATTTCAAATTGAAATATATCCCTTAATCTACATTCTTATTATAGTTATTCCACAGCCTCTATTTAAATAATTTATATAGACTTTATTCTTTTAATATAAATATAACTTGTTATAAAACCTAGTTCTCTTTTAGAAATTAATGAAATATAAATAACTGTAGCTTCCAAAATGCAACATAGTATAGAATATAAACATTTAGGAACCCTGCTATTAAGATTTTTTTCCTTCTAAGAGAGGGGAAGTTCATCACAATACCAAACTTTAGATTTTAAACAAAATTATGTAAGCCATCCATGTGCATGTATTAACAAAGAGAGGCATACGCATTTATAAATACACATTAGATATGTATACGTGTAGAAGAGAGAGATTAAACACACACATTTATAAATATATAGATTCATTCATTTATTCATTTGTGGCCTATAGGGCTATTTCTCCCTACGATAACCATAGAGTTCAACTGTTTTACTATAGAAAAATCTTCCTCTGATTTTAAAATAATTTTGGGTGGGGATAAGATGGCTAATAATACCCCCTTGAAACTTTTTTCTTCATATGTGTAACATATTATTTCTTGTAATTTTAAGATCTTAGGTTAAAAAAAATACATGGCCGACTCCTAATTTTATGTTTTTTGTTTCAACTTTTAGCCTTCGATGAGCAAAGAACAGGGAGGCATGTAAAGCAAAAAGTAAATCTATCTTTTCGGTGCTGAATATTCATACATGACTTTAATTAGCACACGGTTTCTCCCTTAATTAGCACACGGGTTCCTCCCTCACTCTGCATTTTCCTCCTAAAGCAATTTTTTAAAAAAATATAGAGATTGTAGAGATCTCTTTTTCTTTCCTTTTAGTGATAGAGTTACAGGTCCCCCTCCTCAAAAAAAAAAAAAAAAAAAAACCAAACCCCCACCCACAGAATAAAGGAAAAACTCCTAAGGGGGAAGGGAAAAGCGCAGGAACCCTCCGGAGAAGATACTGGATTCAAATGCTACAGGCACCCCGCATTTAGCCATAACTTTAATTCACAACACTGGACTTGATCTGAGGACCGAATCACCTTTTTTGTTTCGCCAGAAGATGTAACCCTCCGCTCAGTTCCGATGTGCCAGGTTCTGCCGCAGAGCAGACCAGAAAAGAAATAACTACTTATACCCCAAACCTAGTTGTTTGGGACTGAAATCCTTCTTTAAAAGCCCAGCGGGGGAAACGCTTTGACCGGACGACGGAGGCGGCTTCTTATTCTTTCCATCCCTTCTTAGGAATCAACCGTAGATACAGGGACACAGATATTATACATAAATACATATGCTGCAGACATCCCAAGCGATCGATATGCAGGCTCCCCAGCGCGCATACAGACGTATGGGGTACATACCTATGTGCGTGCGCGTGCATGTCTGTCTGTCTGTCTCTGTCTCTCTCTCTGTCTCTCTCTCTGTCTCTCTCTCTCTCTCTCTGTGTGTGTGTGTGTGTGTGTGTGTGTGTGCGCCTACATAGATGTACAATATCTCTCAAACGAGCGCACAATACACCCGTCCCACATAACCTTTCAGTGCTTGCGCCGTCCTAAGGAGAAGGTATTGTAACACTTCTGGAAAAGGCTTACAAATCTCGGGGCGTGGATTCTCCTTGCAATCAACTTGATCGAGGGTGGGGGTCTTTATTTCGTCCGTAACAAAAAGTCCGGGTCTTTCCTTCAGTTTACGCGCGCTGTCTTCCTCTCTCTCCCTCTCTCTCTCCACTTTTCGCCGTCTTCCCCCCCCCTCTTCATGTCTCTTATTTAAAAAACGCTCCTTTGCTGGTTGTTACCAGTGACACAGCCCCGAAGTATATCTCTCTTCCACCTTCCAACATAGGGAGATGTCACGAATAAGATTGGGAAGTACCGCAGAAATAAGGAATCAGCCACAAATGCCTGTGTGTGTGTGTGTGTGTGAGAGAGAGAGAGTGAGTGTGTGCATGTATGTGCGAAAGAGAGCAAGAGAACCTGCCACACACCTGCAAGTTACCTAACCTTAGTGGCAAAAGATAAAGTGATAGATTGAGCCCCCACACAAAAACTGAAAAAAGTTGTTTTTGGCGATATTGGGGGGGGGGAGGGGAGAGGCAATCCTCAGCTTCAAGCGAGTCTGCTTTTGCTCCGGCGACTCAACAATCCCTCTCGCGAGTCGGAAAAATCCGCATCGGAGGCGCCTTTAAAGAAGTGTCTCTTGCTGGGAGCCGCTCCTGAGTCTTGCCTCGCTGTTGGGGCGCCCTAAAGTTGGGAGCAGAGCGTCTTTCAGGGGGAGCCCAGAGATGGATTTGACTTTTTCCTGCCAGCCCCAGTTAGCTCTGAACTCTGCGGCGCGCTATTATTTACAGTGAGTTCCCAAACTAAACACAACAGTATAATTTAACCTTTCCAGGCACTCGTAAATTTTTACGACTGTGAAACAGAGCAACGCAAATGAATATGCCCATAGTTACTGACTTAATAACAGTCTGTGGCTCCCGGAACGATAACTCCTTATGAAATATAATAAATATGTATTTAAATACAGATTGCCGCCAATGTTATTTTCTTTCTTTATGGCATAAACGATTGTATAATTTTATGTGAAGGTCTCCGATCACAAGAAGAGCAGCATGTCTGCGCGGTGCCCTCTTTCCCTCGCCCTCTTTCTCTTTTCCCAAGGAACGAGAACCATTGATGGAATGATTAATTATGATATAAAATAGTCCACTTAAAAAGAGTGATCATAATAGACCCCCCTCTTCAAAAAATAGTCTGATCTTTTTATCTCATTTGGCCACAATTAAAAGAAACTTTGCTCTACAACTTGCTTATTCCTTTGCATTAAAAAAAAAAAAGAGCATATGGCTTTGCTATAAAAATGATGGCTGGAAAACACTGACCCATTAATAGCCTGCGGACTGATTTATTCTTTATTGTTCTGCTGCCCGGACACGTGACACGCGGCAGCCAATGGGCTGACAGGCAGCCTTCAACTTATTAGGTGACTGTACTACTTCGCAAGGACCAAGTTGTTACATGAAATCTGTAGTTTCATAATTTCGCCAGGGCTCGCCTCTCCTTTGGTTTGGCCGGGGCGGCGATGTCTTCGTCGGGGACGCTCAGCAACTACTACGTGGACTCGTTCCTCCTCCACGAGACCGAGGAGCTGGTGCAGTCGCGCTACGCCTCGGCCCCCCTGGGCCAGCCGGCCAGGCAGGCGACCCTCGGCGAGCACCCCGAGTTCACCCCCTGCAGCTTCCAGTCGAAAGCGTCCGTCTTCAGCACTTCCTGGAATGCCGTGCACCCGCCGAGCGCCAACAATGTGCCGGCCGTCTACCACCCGTACGTGCATCACCAGCCACCCGACGGCAGGTACATGCGTTCGTGGCTGGAGCCGATGCCGGCCTCCTTGTCTTTCCCCGGCTTGCCGGCTAGCAGGCATTACGGCATTAAACCTGAACCGCTCACGGCCAGGAGGGGTGACTGTACCACCTTTGACACGCACGCACTCTCTCTGACTGATTATGCTTGTGGTTCTCCTCCAGCTGATAGGGATAAGCCAGCCAACGACGGGGCATTCTCGGAAAACAATGGCGAGAGCGAGGCAAACGGAGAAAAACCCCAGCTGGATCCAAGTAAGTGCACTTGCATCAGGGCCCCGCTGGACTTGAGGAGAGAAGGAGAGAGGGAGGGAACGAGCGAGGGTCTGCCGAGGCTGGCCTTTGAGGCAGGATCCATCTTGAGCTATGCGGCAAGGATTGGGGGGGGGGGTAGGATGGGTGGTCAGAAAAGGGAAAGCGCTGGGGCTCCTTGGAATTGGGGGGGGGGGTTGAGAAGCCCTATGTGTGTGCCTCTGTGTGCCTCTGTGTGCGTGTGTGTGCCCTTGTTTTTCTTTTCTTTTTTCTTTTCTCCCTCGCCTTTTTTTCTCGGAATCTGCAGGCGCGATGGGCTTGGTAGAGAAGACCGTTCATAGAGATGGTCTGATTCTCAGCTTCAGCCTGCCTTTCTCAGACAGCAAGGGAGTGTCACATGTATGCTTTCCCTGGCTATGGCTTCCGCTAGAAGGCTGGATAGGGAAAATTCGGGTGGGGCAGGGGGAAAGAAAGGTGTGGGGGTGGGGGGGGAGAGAGAGCTGTGAGGGAAGGAAATCCAAAACACTGGGTATGAATCCCTTTCCGTTAGCTCACAAATCCAAGAACACCCAGTTCAGGGAAAAAAAAAAATCATCTTCTTTCTGTCCCGATTTTGGAGAGGAACACACCCACAAATCAGGTTCATAGGCAGGTTTATCCTTAATAGCTGGAATGTGGGGGGAGTTTTTTGTCTTTTGTCCCCTTATAACCAGAGAATATAGAGGTATTCACAAAGGGCGCTCTGTTCTTATGGGTTGTTCACCACCATCTTTTTAATAGCTGGGGGTGGGGGGGGAGGTGAAGAGGAAGGAGACAGGGGCAAGGTGGGGAGAAAGCCGGAAATGCCGGCTTTAAGAGTAGACTCTGGATAAACAGTATCAGGGAAACTGGGTGCTGACATTTTACTGCAATTCCATATGACTCTCTAGTGTGTCCCAATTTGAAACCCACAGTTGCCCAGTGAGAGAATATTTTTTGTTAAGAGTGGGTAGTGATGAGGGCAAAAAATATATATACATTTGTATGTGAAAGTCCTTGCTTCCTTCAACCTGAGTATTGTTTCCCTGCAGATAACCCAGCAGCAAACTGGTTACATGCAAGGTCCACAAGGAAAAAGCGTTGCCCTTACACCAAGCATCAGACACTGGAGTTGGAGAAAGAGTTTCTCTTCAATATGTATCTCACCAGGGACCGGAGGTATGAAGTGGCCAGGCTCCTGAATTTAACCGAGAGACAAGTGAAAATCTGGTTCCAGAATCGTAGGATGAAAATGAAGAAAATTAACAAAGACCGAGCAAAGGATGAATGATCCTAGACGGCAGGTTTAATCTGTGTCAAAATAGCAAAATCCGCCCTTCCCCCCTGCGGTCCTTCAGCGCCACACAATGCAACTTCTCTACCCCTATCCTGAAACTGTAACCAGGCCTCGCATATTTTTATTTTTTCATTGTTTGTCCTTGGCCAATTCAGCTCTTGAATGTACCTCGCCAGCGTGCAGAAAGACCGCTGTGTCCTGGTGCTATTTTGGAGGTACCGTCTTTTTTTTTTCATTTTCTACTCCTAGGAAAGCAAAGGAGGGACATTACCGCACCAGGGTGATATGTTGCTTTGTTTAAATCTACCTGTCAAGAAAGAAAAAAAAAGAAAGAATGAAAAAGAAAAAGAAAGAAAGAGAAAGAAAGAAAACTACCTTTTAATGCACAATTCTTTATGGACTGTATAGGTTAGTTGAAGTAGTTAAATTTATTTGCTTGTTGCAAGGCAGAGAGAGAAAGGTCTGCTGTAATACTTGAACACTGTGTTTTACTGTGGTATTATATTTGTGACTCAATTTTTGTGCTTGGGTGCTGTACCAGATGTGATTGTGTAAGCTAGAATACAATTTGAACTCAGGTTGTTTATTATAAAGATTGCATAGAGTATAGCTCTGTAGTGTAAGGACGGAGTCTTTTTTTCTGTACCATTGAACAGTTAACCTTGAATCCTACCAGATAAAAATTATAAATCATCCATTTCATATCCTAACTTTTAAACATAAAAGAAAAGCAAATATCTGGAATAAAAAAGGAGCTTATTGGTTCCTCTGAAACCACTCATTTAAGTATACACACAATCTATCTATCTATCTATAGTACAGTTTTCGTCAATTGTATATATATTATCTATATATTAAAGAAAGAAACCCTTAATAATCAAATTAGCTTGAATATTGTTTTTGCACCCGTGAGCAGTTCTCAGATATCGGAGCTATACCTATATGTGAAAAAGGTAACTACTACCTATGGTTTACGTTTTAAGATTAATCAAATAACTTGATTCCTATTGTAATGAAGTTTAATTTTATTGATAATAAATTATACACTAAAAACTACCTTTGGTTATTGCAGATGTGTATTAATTTTTTTTAACAACCTGAAAGTTATGTTTATGCAGAAGCTACACTTTGTATATTTTGCAAAACTTACCTCGTGGCTTACTGACCAAATAGTTTTGTCCAAAATGATATTTAACTTTTTTGCTAAATAAAAAAAAATATTGATTCTTTTATATTTTTGTGCTGTTTTAAGATTATTATGGGCACTGCTCCACAAGCTCAGCCCATAGATGGCATCTATTCTGGTGAGTAACCAGCAACTTGATTCTAAGCCCAATTATTCCAAAGTAAATCTCTACTCTTTTAATAGCATTTACTCCATACTTTGGATATTAGGAACTTGTAAATGAAATCACTTATAAGTCTGTGCATCGTTTTCCTGACATCACAGCATTTAATGACCCTGCCACCCAACGGACTATTGAAAATACTAGCCATCTTGCTGGAAGTCCATAATTTTTAATGATGCATATACAAATAGAGGCTTTATTTAAAAACAAAACAATACACCAAGCAGCTGTTTGTGACTGTCTTCTTCAAGGGCAAAAATACTGTTGCTCTTTTTATTGGTTTCATTTTGAACTCATACAAAATCAAGCTGTTCTCAGAGGCAAATAGCTACATAGCACTGGCTATGAAAGATCACTTTGTAACTTCCTGGGGAATGGGCTGCCTCTGTGAAAGGTACCCTTTGCATTTCCCTCTACAGGGTCTCCCAAATCAAGGTGTGGCATTTATCTCCAATAAAAGATAGCAAAACTTAGTTCTTATTCTTATAAGCAGGAAAGTCAGATTCCAGCGTGATTACCCAGGTAGTGATTTAAGTCCAGTTCACAAAATGTTACTGCAAACAGCTTGCTGGACATAGCTAACAATTTAACAAACAAATATGAGAATGGGAGGGGTGGTGAAGTGGTGGTGGGATGGGGATTAGATTCAAAGCAGTAAGCAAGACTGAGAGGAATGCCAAGTGAATCTCGGGAAAGCACCTAGAAGAATCAGGTTCCACAAACTACTTGAAGAGAATTTCACCCACAATCAGACACTGTAGGAATGCCCCTCTTCCTTTCAAAGCTAAAAATGCCAGCCCAGCTCCTAAGTCTGGGATAAAGACAGTATCAGAAACATATAATAAAAGAAAATGACGGCCATAATCTCTTTCTGAGTGCAAAGGGCCGGCAACGGCCCAGGACAGGGTCTGGCTGGCTGTTATTTTTTATTTTGTTTCTGACTACGCCTCGAAGGGAAAAAATAAAATAAAAGGTGGGACTTATCTCTGAGCAATGCTTGACAAGTGGAAAAACGGGGTCTGCGTTGGCGACAGGAAAGGAAATTGGAGGGGCCGAGGAAGCTGGAATGGCTGTCTGTCCCAGGAGTTTGGGATCTGGGACGCCCTCTGTTGTTGTGGAGGGGGGGGGACTTCAAAGCTCCAGCCTTTGGAGGGCCTAATAAACGGCGGGTCTGCAAACTGTCTGGAATTCGGCCCTTAATGAGTTTACAACTGTCCAGCCGCAATTAGTTTTTCTACAAAAGCCCTTTCATTTGTTTTGTCTGGCTCTTTTAGATAAAGCCGGACTGCGGAAATAGCCTGCCTTTATGAGTCCCCTTCCTCTGGAATGTAGGCTTGAACGGTGGACGTTTATTTATAATGAATTTGCCGCCGGGAACTTCTCCTACAATAGCCAAGGCACCGCGAGGCAGATTATTTAAAACGTTTGCAGTGCAGGGAGCGCCTCAGTTTTTACGCATTTGTAAGAGTCCTGCACCTTTTGGATCCGTTGCAAGGACCAAGAAGAAACAGCAGATGGCAGTGTTGTTCCATGAAAACGAGAGTGATGTTTATAGCTGCCAAAGGAAAATTCTAAAATGTCGACTTTCTGGAAGCAGCATCCTGTATATGCGGGGGTTGGAAACTGCTGATTGGATTTTTAACAAAGGACAAAAGTGCTCATTGCCTGTTTAGCCCTATGAACATCTGAATGCTTAAAAAAAGAATGCAGCAATGCTGGGTTGGATGCAGATTTATTCACACAAAAAACAGGTTCTCAGAAAGCACTGCGAATTTAAATTAGTTTTTATTAAAAATGAGTCCAGTTGTTCACCAGCATGTCATTTATTGTAAATCCTAATTTCACCTATTAGGCTTTTTATTATTTATTTATTTATTATTTCGAAAATGTATCAAAGATCAGATTTTGTATGTTGTGACTTCAGACATGAGTAATATGTGATGTGTGTGTATTTGTATGTGTGCATCTACATATCTATAGATGTGTACACATACAGACACATCTATGCAAACACACATTTCAGGTTTTAAAATGGCTCATTTCAGCTCAATAAAGAGGCTGAATTGGATTCTATCCCTATGGATATATGCAAGAATGTATCATCTTTGGAGAAATTAAATCTTCAATTGTTAAACCTATAATAAAATAAAAATACATTTGTATTTAGAACACATCCATAATTTAACTGGCTGTGATATGTACAAATTGATATCTGTATGCAAATATAAATCATGCAGGCAAATATATTCACACAGCACAATTATTTATATTTCCTGAATCTCACCCTGGCAGTAAGCTGCTCTATGTAGTAAGCCCTACTGAATTAGGTGGGGTTTACTATTTAGTAAATATGCCCAAGATGGTCTTACGATGGTGTGATTGTGTGTAATTGTATTCCATCAGCATGCTCTAACGGGGCTTTTAATAGCGCACCACAGAAGGTATGTAGAATTGAAACATAAGTAGGCTGCACCATCTTTACCGAAAACATAGAAGGAATATTACAGCTGCAAAAATTCAAATCTGAGAAAGCTACAGTGGATGATTGAAAGATTGCATCATTGGTATAAGGAACCCTAAGAAAGAGCTTAAAGGTGTTTCCAAATGGAACAAATAGACAGATTTTTTTTCCCCTGGAAAAACATAACACAACAAATAAGCCCGTTTAATAGGGATTTTAGGCAGTCCTCTATGGCGCAAATATCTTTATTTCTAATACAAGGGTATATTTCTTCAGCCTCATTTACATTCCCCAAACGTGACTCTGCCTTGCTTTGGTGGTCAGGCCGTCCTTGAAATTGTGCTTCCCCCCCCCAAGCCCCAAAAACCGAATTGCTAGGATAAACCAACTAATTTTTAATTTGAAAATTATTTACCAGCCACTGAATTTTCCAGCAGATGTATTTTCTGCAATTAAGGGCTCTGTTCTCTCCTAAACAATTTTGACTCGGTGGGATCCGATTTAATTATGTTATGCAAATGCTCACAAGCTGATATACCAACGGCTGTATAAAAGTCTGTATTTTTTTTAATTCTGGGACCTTTTTTTGTTTCTTATATTTTCTGTTTTTTTCTGATCAAAAATTAATTCATTTTTGCTTCTGCTCTGGAGGACTGCATTTATTCTCATTTCAGCAAGGAACACATTCTGGCTTCTGAAAATTAGATGATTGAAATTCATGTTTATCTGTAATAGGTCTTTGGAATATAAGAAGCATAAATGCATCGCATCAAAATGAAAGAAAAATATGATATTATTGAGAAAATATTGAAAATGTACATCCTTTTCTCACCTACAAATGCACACACAAATCCATCATGCAGAACCAGTGAAGGAAGATTCAAGGTTTAAGCATGGAAAGTATTCTGGTTTAATGCTATACTAAGAATCCACATTAGGGAAACAGCCAATTATATCTGACCCTTAAAAATATTGAGGGAATGCAACGTCTATATTTAATAAATGGTCCTAGTGGAAAATAAAAATAAAATTTATGTGATCAGATTATGGCCTATCGTAGTTAGGTATGTAATTCTTATTGTTAAGATAATACCTTTAATATAACCTGGTGACACTATCTAGAACCACTTCACCTGTGGTGAAATGCAAAAGGGAAGTTAAGTAACTCATATAAACTTTTAATTGAACAGGCAAGACTAATTAAGGAGAGGGAAACTCATATATGCCAAAGAGCAAAATCAAAGCTATAATCAAGCTCAATCAGTAACTATTTTGTTTCCTAATGCAGAAAGCAGACTTACGTTAATAATTGGGAAATATTTTGAAACGGGTGTTCTTTCACTTTAACAAAGATTTCTCAGACTATATAACAAAGCAATTTATGTCTTCCTATATGAGGGAATATTTTTGAAGGGCATGGAGTTCGTTAGATATAGAAGAAAGTATAGTAGGTGTAGGCATTTCATTTAATAAAACAGGTGTAAATGAAATGCAATAAACAATATATTATAAAAAATATATAATGGTCGTTCTAGGCTGTCTGAGCGGGTGGATGCATGCACGGACTTCTAAGCAGGTTTCCAGAGAGAATGCAGCATTTAGGATCTCCTTTCTGAATTGAAGAAAAAATCCGCATTTTTTCTTCAAGACTTAAAATGGGAAAAGAGAGACCGGCAAGCGGGCAGCTTCATTTTCAACATACTTTGGAGCTTATGGGGGGTGGGAATTGTATACAGAGAATTAGACATTTTCCTTGTCAGAACAATGCCCTTTCTCACGGGGGCTTGCGAGCATGTGTATCCACATATTACAACTACACAATTCTTGTGAAAAATTTAGAATGTTTCCAGGCTTTACAAAACATATTTTTTTGTCATTTTTATTTTTAAGTCTACCCCTTGTCAATATGAGAAACTAGCATCTTGTCCTGGTCGGCCCTAAACCAGTTTAAGGATCTGCGGAGGAAGCCTTGATTTGTCTTTTCGAGAGCCTTGCCTGGAATGTTGCTTCTGCTGGCTGTCTTGCTCCCCTCTTCCATCTTGTGGACTGTTCCCGGAGAGGCATTTATTAGTTCAATGTTGAGGTGGCCGGCTGCTTCTTTGATCTCGGATGCCTTTGCAGGTTCACTTTGCTTTATTCTCTCTTCTTATCCATTTCATGGGAGCTTTTGTTGCGTTGTTTGCTTGATTTCAAAAAGATTTTCCAGGAAAGAGAAGGGGAATGGTAGACAGGGAGCCTTCCCTGGGCCTTCCTTTGGTTTTGACAGCCATCTTAAGAGTGCGGATCAAAACTGTGGGGGTGAAAAGAGCCCAAACAGCCATAGCTTCAAATTCGCTCCCCTAAGAGAAAAGCTGGAGAGCCAAAGGACCACCTGTGAGTCCATAGGATTGCACTATTAAGAACACCATCTCATTCCGCAGTCCTATTGTAAGGTGGCCTTTATTGGTCTTTTTACTGGACTGTCTGGGGTGGTGGTACCTCCCAAAGCTCCGTGAGAAATATCACCAGTGGCATTTCTAGAGCGTGAGAGGCTCTTTGTAAACATAGGATACCCAGTTCCATAATTTGAGGGGAGAGTTTCCGGGACAATTCTATTGTCTTCCTTCCAGTTTATGATGTGCAATAGAGCAGGGCACTAAAAGATGCCTCTGTGCAAACGTCTCCATGGAAGGGAGGAAATTCATTTTATGACCTGGGGGGGGGGGCTGGGGAAGGAAGTAAGAGACGCGCCACCTTTCCTAGCTGCATCTGTGTCTTTGTGTGTGCAGAGGTGGGATTCTTAAAAAATTAAGGTATCCTTTTATCTGTGATCTATGGACAGGGGCATTGCATAGTAGATCCCCAAAGGTATGTGTATTTGAAGAACTTGGGCACAGGATGTGGTGGATAGAAGCGGGGCTTTTAAAAAAGAATACATTTTAACACCTTCCCCCCTACTCGAGGAGAAGATTCCCCTTCCAAAAGGCTATGAAAGCCAGTTTGTTTTTTTTGTCACTGCAAATACGTTTTTTGTTTTAAAAAGAACCAGGGCGGTGCTATTGGGCAGAGCAGGCTGTCTAATAAAGGACTTCTATGTGTCATAATTCCCACAAGGAGTCTTCTGATGCAGCCTTCCCTGGAATAGCATGCAGATTCAGAGACATGAAAGGCCTTGGAAGATATTGACCAGGCCTCTTTGAAAAACTTGCAAACAAGCTAGGATCAGCTCCAAACCCACTGCCATCTTGGGAGTTGGTAACTGAAGAGAAATGGAGGATCTTTGGCCATATAAAATGTCAGTATTTCAAGAAATCTGCTAGCATTATAGGAAGGGCTTTTTTTAACCGAATCCCACAAACTCATCAGTTCGACGCACGCACACAAAGAAAGATTCAATGACCACCGTTTGTGGGATGCTATTTCCTTTTTTTTTTTTTTTTTACAAAATAAAACAACAGGAACATGGTGGCGACGATGCGTTTGTGTCGATGTCTACTAATGCTCAGGAGCCCACCGACCGGGAGTGAGAAAGAAAGGCCGTGTCTGCGCTGTGGGCAGGCGGGGGGTGCGGGGGAAGAGAGACACTACTGTATATTAATGAGAAGGTTTGTTGCGTGGGTCCAACTGCGCTCTTCTTCCGGATTGGAACACGCCGAAAGGCTGCCCGCGGCTGAAAGACTAGAGGAAGGGAATTCCAAATCCAGCCGGGCCGGGGGAGATTTAAAGAAAGCACACGGCGACTCCGTCACCGCCAGCCCCGTGGGCAGAAGAGAAGTGTGGGCGCAGGCGAAAGCGGCCGGCCTTAGTTCTCCAAACGCCGGGCTCCAGTTGTCTCGCCGCAGCACTTCCTCGGCTTCCTTCGCTGTCCCGGGTGTGCCGCCGGCCATGTGGCAGCCCGCTTGGGGAAAAGAACCCGCCGGCTGCTTTCGGTCACTCGCGAGGTGCGGCTGTGATGCTCTCTCTTCCCATTTACAGGACCTTGTGCGCTTCCCTGATCTCTACCACCTGTGATGCAGGAGCAGATTGGCGGATGGGGTCATATGACTGGTCACGTGGTGGAGGCAGCTCGGTCCAAAAGAAAATGGGGTTTGGTGTAAATCTGGGGGTGTAATGTTATCATATATCACGCTACCTCGTAAAACCGACACCGAAGCCTACCGGACAACAAATCACCGGTCAAAATTATGAGTTCTTCGTATTATGTGAACGCTCTTTTTAGCAAATATACGACGGGGGCTGCTTCTCTCTTCCAAAATGCGGAGCCTACGTCTTGCTCCTTTGCTACCAACTCCCAGAGAAGCGGCTATGGACCAGGCGCTAGCGCATTCACCTCCTCCATGCCTGCCTTGTACAATGTGAACAGTGCCATATATCAAACCCCGTTCTCTTCCGGATACAGCCTGGGCTCTGATACCTACAACCTGCATTGTTCCTCTTTTGATCAGAACATTCCCGTCCTCTGCAATGACCTAACCAAATCCAGCTGTGAGAAAGCGGAGGAAAGCAACCTGCACAGCCAGGCTGAGAGTAATTTCCGGATATACCCCTGGATGAGGTCTTCAGGTATGGGGAAGGCGGGGGGAGCGGGCGGGCGGGGGGAGACCAAAAGCCTTGTTCAAAAACATAAAAGGACAGCTCGACCTGCGGGCGAATGTTACGCGACCTCAGGCAGACGAGCCAAGGCGGCGCATGCAAACTTCCTCGCCAAAAGTGCGCCTGCCTCTCCGCTTTTAATTAGAGCAGAGGCGCCATTGCGCAAAAGCCTGTGGCATTGTATGTAAATGAACCTCATAAAACTTTTTATTGCCCAATTAATGAGTTCGAGCCTCGTAAATTTATCTAACTCTTCTTCGTGATGGAACTGGAGAGTCGGGCTGAACCTCGGGCTGCGCCACAGGGAGAACAGGCGAAGGTGGCGAATGGGTCCGGGGAAGGTGGCTATGGGGCGCCTTTCTCTGCCCGCAGCAGCAGAGAAGGGGAGTCTCGGGTGGGAGTGAGGGTGGCGGGCAGAGGTGGAGGAAGCAGCAACGGCTGAGGAGCCACCTGCATGCACTGGATTGAAATATGTGATTTCTTATTATTCTCGAATTTTCTTTGTCAGAAAAATATGATCCTGCTCTAGATGGGCAGGCAAGTGGATGCGGGAGGAGAAGGTCCCAGTGCATTTAAACCTCGCTGCGCTCCCCTAGCAAGGCGGGAGACGAAGGCATTATTTTAAATGACATTGGAGTTTGCGGGCAAGGATGGAACGTCAGGCGATGCCTAGAATGTGACCTAATATTCGCCAGAGTTCCGCTAAGCCATTTTGCCTGTTTCGGATTTTTCTTTGAGATTAAGGGTTGAAAACCTAGAAACTAACCCTAAGACTTTTCATTAAGTTGACCGGCCCCATGGAACGCAGCCGAATTATTTTGGAAGTGAGAGATTCTAACTGAGAGGAGAACTATTGACTCAAGAGAATTTACTTTCAAGTAGGGTCTCACTAGAGAATACTTTCAAGAAAATCTGCCTAACGCTGCGCGGTTAAATGGCCTTTGGGGTGGCCGGATATTGTATCTGGAAAAAATGGAGGCTGAACAGAGAGGGCTGAACTCCATTTATCTGCCGACTTGTTTATAAATTCCAGGTTTTTATTCAGGCGGATTGCCTTCCTTTCCCTCCTTAACTTAGAAGGTCTCCCCCTTCCCCCCCCTCTCTCCCTTTAGGTCCAGATCGAAAGAGAGGGCGCCAGACTTACACCCGTTATCAAACGCTGGAGCTGGAGAAAGAGTTCCATTTCAACCGCTACCTGACCCGCCGGCGGAGGATAGAGATCGCTCACGCCCTGTGCTTGACCGAGAGGCAGATCAAAATCTGGTTTCAGAACCGTCGCATGAAATGGAAGAAGGAGCATAAAGAGGACGCCGCTGGAGGCACGGCCGCCGCCAACGAAGAGGCACCCGCCACTACCTCGGTGGAAAAGGTGGAGGAGGAAGAGGAGGAGGAGGAAGAAGAGGACGCAGAATAAATGCCAGCGGGAGGAGGAGAAAGCTCGCCCCAGCTTCTTCTCAAATGCTGTTTGCACGTGACCCGCTGCAAACGCTCCCCTGAAGCTTTCTTTTTCGTTAAAAAATAATAACAAACATAAAACTACCCTTGTTTTTTTTTCAATGGCCATTTCCACTCTAAGAGGGTCTGGGGAGAGGGCAGGCAGGGTAGATCTCTTCCATTACCTCTAGACATCCCCTGGCTTATTATTCTCAGTCTAAATTGCAGAATCCCACGCTGTCCAACATCTGGGATAAATTGGTTTTGGGCATCCAAGCTGGTAGCCATTTATGTTAACAAGTGATAAATAACATAGTTAATTTTTTATTGATATTTGTGAAAAGAAAATGAATCCAACAATTAACTGTTCTTTGCACAAGGAAAGGGGGGGAGAAAGAGAGAGAGAAAGAGGAAGAGAGAGAGAGAGAGAGAGCGCAAAAGCCCCAAATAAGTTAGCTTCCAAATAAACTACCTGACTGCACAGATCCCAAAAATCTGAAAGGGAAAAGTGCACTAGGCTTAATTTCAGACTACCTAATTTTTCACTAAAGTTCTATATACTTCCAAGTGGTTGGACTTTCTGCTTATTTGTTTAAATAACTGGGGATGGGGGTTGGGATGGGGGAAGAAATCCTTTTTAAAAAATAATAAACCACTACATTCAATTGCAATGGTTCGTACTACCTATTTTGAAAACTACCTATTTAGTAACTCCGCCTACCTATCAACAAAATTGTATTGTATAAATGAGAAGGGGGTATCAGTGTTGGTGGGAGACCTTGTCAAGCAAAAACTGTGAGGCCTGCCTGACATGGTTCAAAGATTTGGTGGGGAGTACTTACGAATATAATTTAGAGTTTTTAAGACATAATATATTTATTGCAAGGCTGTTATTAAATTAAATCAAATATGCTGCAATATTAGATTTTTTCTCAAGTCTTCACTAGCCCGAATTTTATGGGATAAATACTGATTGTATCCATTGTAAAATCTGCCTTATCTTTCCTTTCATATTGTGCTCCTGAAGGCTGATTCAGTGTTTCGTTTGAAATTTGTCCATTAATTGTGCTTTATGCATTTTAAAAAAAGTTAAGTGAATTTAAACAACCATCCCCTGCTCTTTCATCAGTTTCTTCCCTCACTCTATACTTGCTCAGAACAAAAGGCTGCAGCTTTCCTACATTTCAGACAACTTGTGCATTGGAAATGTTGCCTGTTCCTTCTGTTTTGAACTCCATCATAAACTGGAAAATCTATACTAAACTGGGTAACTTTGTAGCATGATTACATTAAAAAAAACTTCTGTATAAATAAATTGCACCATTAAAGTTTGGCTAATCTTTATTCATAACTTGTATGTTACAAATGTGTTTTTTTCTGCTCTGATCACTGTGAACTTTGAGGTATTTCATGTTAAAATTAGAAGGGGCAGGGAAGTGCGCGTGTATGTATGTATATGTATGAATTATCTTTGAAGTTTGCTTTTGTGTATCACCCAAATGTTTCCATGTTATACAGAAATAAAAATGCTTGATGACCCTGCATTGCATTTTTTTACAAGCAAAGAATATATGTGTGCATATACGCCCCACTGTTTAGTATTCCTGCAATGAAATATAAGATATCTGAGCAAGTAAACAATTATCTTGAAGAAATGAGGGTGGTGTGGTGCCCTCATTATTCCTGTTACCTGGAAGAAAACAGCAGCACAAATTCATTTGCATTCACCAAGGTGGGAGAATATTACGGAGGTGGAAAGTTGCAGGGCTCTGTGGGCCCAATCCTGATTACTTTCATATGCAGCTTCTTCCAATGGAACCAACAGTGATAAATAGATCCTGTTTACTCCTTTGGCATCTAAACTGGCTCCGTGACTTTGGCTTCAATGGAATTAGGATTATGTCTTCCTTCCTGCTTCATCACATAATCCTAATTCCCAATGTGAGGCTGGTATGCATCTTTCCTGCCTAAACATAAATCCGCATTATGCATAGGATACAATTGTCAGTAGGGATATTCTCAAGTCAGAGATCCGAATATACTAAATGTAGGGGCAGAAGACAGAAGTAACAGAAGCACAGCTTCTCTTCAATATCTTCAAATATTTCTGAACCATTGTTCTTATTTTTGTTTTTTTACTCCATTATCCACCCCATTAAAAAAAAAACTGAAAGCAAAGCGGAAGGAGGAAAAGGATAAAATTCCTAGGGGTGGAAGGAGGGCCAATGCCTGATACTTTATCCGCCTCTGAATGTATTTAGCATAATTTCAATGCAAAAAGCGGAGAGGGTTTTTTTTGTTTTTGGGTTTTTTTGTCCAAATGGTGGGTCCTTTAAAAATCTAGGACCATCTCTGGTAAAATGGCGCCTTTCTAAGTCCTGCCTCTTTCTTAGTGATGGGGAAAAGGCCATAAATCCGTTGTTGTTTATGAAAATTTACAACTTTGCAATACAACTTTACGAGTGATTCGGGTTCTCTATTGGTTGTCGACGGTCATGTGGGTGGTAATCGTGAACATGAACTTTTTTATAATTTCCCTGGCAAGAATAGAGCTGCATTCTTTTGCTCTGCTCTGTCCTGCTTCGGATCTCTCTGCCTTTCCAGCCCCACCCCCACCCACCCCTTTCAACCACCCACCCGGGTTTTCCTATGCCCTTTGTAAGTCAAAAGGGAGTCGAGTGGATGGAGATCGGGCAGTCGCCTCGAACGCAGGTCTGGAATGGCCTTTTCCAGCTCTTTTGCCGGAAGGTGTGGCGTCTTGGATTCAGAGCTTTGGGGTGGCAGATTTTCAACTCACAACCTGGCTAATTTCCTGCTTCTTCTGGCACCACCAAAAGGAAGGCCGTTCGTCTCCACAGCAGGCAAAGCGGCAGCTGTCAAAGTAGCAGGGGCTCCTGCCAGCCAGGACCTACAAGGTGAGAAACGTGGAGAAGAGAGAGCGTTGAGCAAGCAGATCCAGTTAGTTAGTTACACGAAGCAGCCTAGCGAGATGGCTAAGCCTCTCTGTCTCGAGAGAAGGTCGATTTGCCTAAGCGTGAGAATGAACCAATGCAACCCGGAGCTTCCGGGAGTTTGCCTAGCGCATACAAATCAGCGTCGGGCTCCAAGTGTCATCATCCTGACACTGTTACTGTTCCATTGGCTGCGTTAAAAGGGTGCCTTTGGAAAGCATGGTGGGTTTCCAGAAACCTCTGGTGAACGGCTTCCTTCGTAGAAAGGCAGGTTTGAAAAACCCAGAAGGGTGGTGTCAAACCTGTGAGAGCTAGTTCGGTCCTCGCAAAGATTTAATTTGCGGTGGAAACTATTAAGAAGAGGTTGTGTTTATTTTGAGAGGTGTGTGAGGAATGGAAGTAAATTGGTGGACGGAGGCGGGTCCTCACGTGTTTAGAATTGTAGATGGCGATTGATTCCGGTGATGCCTTTAGAGGCTAGACCTGAACGCAGTATTATGGTGTTGCTTATGTGCATGGTTGAGAGGCAGGAACATATGGCAGCGTTTTAAGAACCCGAAAACTTCTTTTTTGTTGTTTTATTTTGTCATTAGTGGGGGGGGGGTGAGTGGGATTAAATGCTTCAATGAATCTTTTCAGTCATTGTTTACTGGAAAAAAAACATGTAAGTTCTCTTAATAATTGGAATAGCTGGTAAAATGTGAGAGTTGTATGCAATGTTTTCATAGCAGCAATTGTGCATGGTTCACCCAAATCGAGATTATTTCTTACCTATTTGTACAGAGGAAAATATTTCTGACTGCGACTGAAATATATTGATCCCCGCCGTTGAGGAGGATTAGCGATTTTCTTAAATATTAGAAAAATAGGTTTTCAACACCCCCCTCAATCCATTCTCCGAGTTGATAAAGAATTACGTGTACATTACATTGCAGTATCCTCTTGACTATAGCTGCAGTAAATGTCGGATTATTTATCGGCGAGAAATCTACTCAGTACTGCCACTGTGTGGCCTTTAAAGGTATTAGCCGCTGAAGGTCGGGGGCAGCCACCAGGTACATAAATAATTAAGAGAGAGCCGATAAATAAATCACGACTGAATGGGTTGCTTATCGTTGTGGACCATATACACGCGGAGATGGTGTTCTCTTTTCCCAGACACTTTTTGTATTTTAAATGTACGCAGGGGAAGGCCGAAAAACCCCTGAAAATATGATTACGCTAACACTAGCAGGACGACCTAGAGATGCCGACTTTATCTCGAGGGTTACTACGGTAATACATGCCCCATCTAAACAATGGCTCGGACTGAGATTTCTGTTTGGGTTAGATTTGTTAGCTAAATCTTGCTTCTCCGTTACCTTCCGTGAACACAAGAATTTGATAGTAAGTTTGTACCTTCATAGAAAAGGAGTTTTTAAACTTAAATAGAGCTACCGCCCCCTCTCCTTCCTCACTCCCCTGCCCCACCACCTATGTTCCAACTTTGTTTGACTTATGGCTTGGATTGAATGAAAGGAAGGGGGAGAGGGGTAATGGGAGGCCCTCATTGTTAAAATGGTAGTCACACGTTTTAAATCAATGGAGGCTGTTATTTGAAAGAGTTCTGAAGCCTGACCTGCTTTGCTGTGTGTTTTTTAAGGGCCCAGCCAAGTTGTTTACCTTCCTTCATTAAGAAACTGTCTCAGAGAATGTGTCTGGATTCCTCTGGGAAGGTGCAGACTTTGGCAAAACTTCTGTTTAACAGATGTGTGTCTCCAAATGTCTAGATGAAAGGAGGGGGAAAGTGTATTCTTAGTACAGTTTCATTTCCTGGACCACGGCCATTTCTTCTTTTTTAATTTGCTCTGGTTGGTGTTCAATAATGATATATAGATTTTATCCCTTCTATTTAGAATTATGCTTGCCGTGGATATAAAAGTTCAGGAAGATTTCCCTGTTTGTTGCATTAAATTTACAAATAATTACATTTTTCCTAGCTATTTACATTTTTGCACATTGTACAAGTTGGCAATTGACTAATGAAAAACGAACCAATATGTATATAAATTTACAATTTAACAAATATACTCCATTTATAAAATGTTTTGGTTCTATATATGGTGATGATTACTACATATAAGCCAGTATTCTCTCTGTGTGTGTCTCTCATTTCTTTCTCTCACTTTCTTGTCTTGTATTGTAAAATATTTTAAAAGAATTCATTTTTGATACAGATGACTATTCTCCATTTTGGAGACTATTTTCTAAAACATCCCAAAATTTACATTTATCAATCTTGTTGGAAGGATTTCTGAAACTTCCCTTCCTTAAGAACCAAAAGAAAGCTGGCAACCAGAAGGGGATGTTGGTGGTGACAGCAGCTATTTTAACTTACTGTTGTTTTAGAGATACCTAATTGGAGTCAAGAAATTAAAAAATAGCCAATTGGCCAAAGGCCTTGTGGTTTTCAAGCCAATGAAGTAGCCATTTAGGAAATAGAACACCTGAGAAAGGAGGAAAACAATTGGCACAAGATATGTGGCTTTAATCTTATTCATATTTCCTGGGAGGTAAGGCTGAAATGATTCAGTAGAAATCATTTCTTTCAGAAGTTGCCAACTTCCTTGTAAAAGTTCTCCTTGCTTTCCAAGTTTCTCATTCCCGTAACAGTTTTGTAACTTCAAGGGTAAATAAATATTTTCCCATTGTATTTTGAAACTACTGTCAAGTTTGCAGATTTCAAAATGTGTATCTGCTGACTCTTTCTTTCTTTCTTTCTTTCTTTCTTTCTTTCTTTCTTTCTTTCTTTCTTTTTTGGTTTATTGGTCTTCTTTCTTAAGATGGGGTGACTTAATTGTTCCCCACCTTCCTGTGAGATTCATTATAACAACAGACTGAAGTTACAAAGATTTTATTTGGGGAGTTAAAAGAGTAACAACAGGGGGAAAATTTTATTGGAATAATTTCCTCTCTTCAAAGCCGCAGCTAACATCCTCAGAGAGGTTTCCTTTGAATACCCCCACTGACAACAAATAAAGGGCAGCAGCAGCAGCAACAACAATTGTGTCGGAGAATCGCCGTTTCCTGTCCGTTTCAGAGCTGAGAATTAAATTAACTGCATTATATTATCTGGATCATCTTGAACAGAAGGGATTATTATTATTATAATTTTAGCCCTTCTCAAGGATGTCGATGCACGCATACACTCTCCCACGCACGTTTCATTAGAAACAGGAAAATGAAATCATGAAAATCGGCTGGATTTCAATTGCCCATTACGTGTGCTGGAAAATATTCCATATGCTTTGGGCACCCTCGTTTCATTGCTTTTGACTCGGGCATGAAGGGAAACGGTTCAACTGAGACCGAATCTCCTGTTCGCCCGTTTGTTTCTAAACCAGCAGATTCTCTCTTTTTGGAGACCGTAGTCAAGTTCCCACTTTTAAGCGTTTCTTAGACACCGCCTCTAAACCACGCGGTTTCTTTGCTTTTCGTCTCTGCGGCGGGACTGGGACACAGATCCCTAAGCTCCTGGCAAGAGACTGAATAAACGGGGGGCTGAATAAACGGGGGGGGGGGATAGACCACGGCTTTTGCAAGATAAGTTTTCGGGGGTGCCTCTTTGCTGTAAGCAGTCATCTCCCCGTCGCTGGGAGTGTCTCCCTGGCGTCATTTCTTCATTTAGATGGAAATAACCCGCTCGACCTACAGACTGACGAGCACCCATTTCCTCCCCGGGGGTTACCCGAGGGCAATTCCTCCCCGCAGCCCTGCTCTCCCGGTTGGCGCTGAGAAGAGCGGGCGGTGGCCAGCTGCCAGGCTCGGCGGCGGGGGGGGGGGGAGCGGCGGAGGAGGAGGAGGTGTGTGTGTGTGCCGGTGGAGGGGGGTTGTTTGGAACTTTGCTGGCTCGGTAGCGGCGGATCCCAGGGGAGAAGGCCGTCCGCCGCTCGCTCATTGGCCGCCGCGCCGTCAGCTGGTTCGATTTGCTGCTGTCGCTTTTGGCGCTCGGCCATCCAGAAACAAACCACACTCGCATGACTACTAATAGTTATATAGCCAGATGTACTAATACACAACAAATCAAGGTCCGGGATCTGGGGAGCGTCCATGAGTTCCTATTTCGTGAATCCCGCTTTCCCAGGAAGCTTGTCAAATGGACAAGAGTCCTTCCTGGGGCAGATCCCCCTCTATCACCACCCAGCCGCTGGCTACGAGGCTCTTAGGCACTTCCCAGCTTCTTATGGGGCCGGCAGCCTGCAGGAGAAGCCCTACTCTTCCCCTAGCTTCTTCCAACAGTCCAGCCCCAGCACGGTCATCGCCTGCAACCGGGCAGCCTATGATTACGGAGCCTCTTGCTTCTACTCGGACAAGGACCTGGGCGGTGCCTCCCCGCCCTCCGGCAATGGCAAACCAAGGGCCAGCAACCCCGGGGACTACTTGCCCTGCTTTGCCTCTGACCAGCAGTACAAGCCCGAAAACGTGGCAGCCAAAATCCTAAACGAGGAAAACAGTGACCGGAAATACACCAGCCCTGTTTACCCTTGGATGCAAAGGATGAATTCATGTGCTGGTAAGTCAAAAAAGGTAACCATAAATAGGGAGGTGGGCTTCAGAGGTGATGATTCAGGGGGAGCTTCCATTCTCTCTCTCTCTTTCTTGGGGAGAAAGATCTTTTTCAGATTATCTGGGATGGGGAGAGGAGGTTTCAAAGCCCAGGGGATGACCTGAGATTCTTCTTTTTTTCAAGTTCTCCATCAACCTGACAGGTTGAGGATTATCTTGACAAGGAATGCATTTTGAAAGCTAAGTCAGCACATGAAGCCTGCCATTGCAGCCTCACATACCTGGGAGTAAATCTTAAGGAAATAACTATTAACACTCTTCAAAAATCAATATTTTTTAAGTACTGGGTGGCTGCTTTTGCTAAATTGCTCCCCATCATTATCATCATCATCATCATCATCACCACCAGAGAAGCTTCTCTTTTCATCAGAGCCAAAGAGTGATACAAGGGAAAAGAGTTCCGACTGCTCCATATATTTGTGAGAGTACTCTTCCCCCGCCCTTCACCCACTCATTAGTGTATAAGAATGAGCTATTGAATGCACGTTTCTAGTAATATCTACGCACGCACACAAATCATCTAATGGGGTGAAGGGGGTGGGAAGAAAGAAAAGTTGATCAATGGCCACCCCCACCCCCCATTTCAATGTATCAGAATGTCATTCTTTGTTCTTCTATCAGAGGAATTAAAAAGTCTAAGGAGATTTTAATAGTGAAGCATTAAAATTTTCATTTTGAAGCATCAATGACCTTCCTTTAAAGCAGCATACTGTGACTTAATGCTCTATTTCTATTCTACTTTTTTTAAAAAAAAGCTTGCTTCAAAATAGATTTTTATTAAATTTATTGGGGCTTGCAAATAAATCTGTTTATAGTTGCTGGTGCCAGTTGACTGAACTTAACATTCTCCTGTTAAGCCAAGACAACATTCTCCTTCCTGTTAAGCCAAGACAAACATCTTCAAATTTCACCTGTTTACAATGGGAAAGAATTAACAAATAGGATTGCTAATACCTTCCTTTGGAAATCAGTGGGACTGAAAAATATTCCAATTTGGTTTAAATTTGGTTAAAATCCTCTTGCAAGTCTGGACATAAAACATAACATAAAAGCAACTCTCCTATACCAGGGCCTGTTCATGTGTTATCTAAGGGTAATGGCCATGTTGGAAACAATCTTCCTTCTTTTTGTTAAAAAAGAATGCTTCTGTTCCCCCCAAACCCCAAAAATTAAATTAAAAATTAAAAAATAACTTCAAAATAGTGTGAGCTTGTCCCTTAAGTTAGGAAAGCAGGAGTAAACAAGGAGTAGGGCTCCAAGGATGGAGGAATAGCCTGCTTATTCCAGGTTATATATGTTTGCTTCCTTAGGTACAGTATATGGAACGCATGGGAGACGGGGCAGGCAAACCTACACCAGATTCCAAACGCTAGAGTTAGAAAAAGAATTCCATTATAACAGATATTTAACCAGAAGGCGTCGGATTGAGATTGCAAATGCTCTTTGCCTTACCGAACGACAGATTAAAATCTGGTTTCAAAACAGGCGGATGAAGTGGAAAAAGGAAAGCAAATTGATCAATTCCACCCAGCCTGGCGAAGAAAAAACAGAGGAAAAATCAGGGGAGTAAAATTATGTTTAAGAGAATCTACCATCCATTAGTGGCTTTTTCTTTCATCACCATGCCTCCTCCCAGTTCACACACAAATGTACACACACACATTTATTGGGTTATTATTCCTTTGTTGTTGTTGTTGTTATGCAGATATTTCCAAAGGCTTAATTAAAATATGTACATATTTATATATCTATATATGTTTTCAGTAAACTGTGGATTTCTGTATCAGTAGAATTATGGACAGTAGAAAATCTTAGCAATATTCAGAATTCCGCCCTGGTAGATTTAGGTGCTTAAATGCTTCTGACATGAGCAATGCCTTTATTTCCTTTTTTGAAAGAAAAAAATGTGTTTGTATATAACTCATTTAATGGTCCTTCTACGCATTAAAAAGGATCAGACCTGGATCCAGAGAGGGATTCTAGAAGGATAGGGAGCTTCTTCTGCATATTTTTCTGTTAACTCAAAACAAATAGTTGCGCTTTGTTCTACCCTTTTTCATCTCCAAACTGAACCCATTTGTTTGGTAATAATATTGATTTCACTGAGACTTTATTTGAATGATGTTACACATGGCATCCTCATATAGTTTAAGGAAAGAAAGGGGAAATGTTAACATGTATGCACAATTCCCAATATATAATTAGGATTTTCAAAAGAGATAATGGGTGGGATGGGAAATATCATTCAAAACCTTGCTGATTATCTGTTGTATATTTTTATTTTTCTAAAGTATAGGATTATGCCTTTTTTTTAAACAATTAGTCCTTCTAAAAGGGTAAAATATTGTAAATAGATAGAGTAGAAAAAGGAAGGCTAGACTTCCTTTGATAAGAAGATTACCGGGATCCATGTAATTATTTAATATAATTGATCATGAAGCATTTTCATTTCTTCTTCTATTGACCTAGTTTTAAATTTCAATATCATGGTATTGTAGATGTATTCTTTCTCCATTTTTGTTTAATATTTTGTTTAATATTTTAATATTTTGTTTAATATTTTAAAGAAAACAATATTTAGGGAAGACACCCCACTCCAAATCTAAAATAAGAATGCATTCATGTGCTAGAAAATACAGGTGAAGGCTTTATTTAGTAGTAGCAGCATGAAATTATAGTATAGTGCACTGGTGCCATTATGTATATTATATTTTAATAATGTGAAGAGGATAGCACCTGGACTATAAATCTAACTCTTAGTAATAATAATAAAAAGGAGTAATTCACGTTATCCTAGCTAAACAACACCATTATGCTTATATTTATGGGGGGGAAATGAGGTGGAGAAAATTTGCAAGCCCTTCAAATGTTCCTGAATTCTCCCTTTCTCTGTGTCTCTTAAAAGCCCATGAAAGAATTCTATTTAAAAAAAAAACATTGCAGGAGCTTTCTATTGAATACAAATTTAAAATCAGCACTGACTTTAAAATACCTCTACTTCTCCTTCCTCTTGAAGTTGCTGCTCATTTACTATTGTTACAGAGAATCAGTTTTTTAATTGTTAATTTTGGTACCTAATTTCCAAAGAAATATATACTGAATTAGTTTACACACACACACACACACACACACACACACACACGCGGCATCCTATAGTGTGTGTGTGTATGTTCCCAACACCCCCATTTTTGCTATTTTTTCCTTAATCTAAACCCCATAATCCCTAACAATTTGTACTTAATAATGGGATTGTAAGAGAGATGTCATAATTTTGCTATAATGGGCTGTAACCCCAATTCGACCTCAGCCTTGCAGCAGCCCCGGGCGGAGAAAGGTGAAGCTCTAACAAGTCTCCAGAGGGTGGCGCACGAGGCCGACTGACAGTCAGGAGCTGGTAACGGGCTCGCGCGCCAGGCGCGCGCCCCAGCCCTCTAGCATCCACCCAACTCCGCCATTTAGTACGCGAGTTTACCTCTAGAGGTCATCAGGCAGGATTTACGACTGGACAACAAAAGCACGTGATATGAAGTCGTACCCCATATTTGGGTGCCTACGTAGGAGGGAACCAAGTACTTGTCCCAGTCATTTCCATAATTCATCATAAATTGTGCAAGGGTGTTATAGACGCACCAAAAACGAAGCAAAGAGCCACAAATCAAGGCCCCCCGATTAAAAAAAAACCAACAACAACAACAAAAAAAAAACCCCAACAAGCCCCAACAACAACAACAAATGAGCTCCTATTTTGTAAACTCATTTTGCGGTCGCTATCCAAATGGCCCGGAGTATCCGTTACATAATTATGGAGATCCGAGTGCCGTGAGCGAGCAATTCAGGGAATCGGCCAGCATGCATTCCGGCAGGTACGGCGGTTACGGCTACAATGGTATGGACCTCAGCGTCGCCCGCTCTGCTTCCAGCCACTTTGCGCCAGGGGGGGCCACAGAGAGGGCTCGCGGCGACAGTTACCCCTCCAGCGCCAGCGCCAACGCCAGCGCCGCTACTCCCGACGCCAGGTACACCAACCGGGCGGCGGCCGCTCACTCGCCTGCGCCTGAGTCTCTGCCTTGCGTCGCCGTGGCCGCCTCGCCTCTGAGCGGCGACGCTCACCATGGTGGGGGGAAAACCTCCACCGTTAACTCGACCACCAGCACTTCGTCCACGTCCGGCGGCACCGCCAGCGCCGGAGGCACAGCCAGCACCAGCACCAGCACCAGCCACCTGGGCAGAGAAGGGCTTAGCACGTCGCCGGTCGCCCAGGAGGATCCTCCCGCCAACAGCGAGCAGGCGGCCGCCCAGCAGAATGACCAAAACACAGCGCAACAGGCTTCCCAGCCCCAGATCTACCCCTGGATGAGAAAACTTCACATAAGCCATGGTAAAAGCATGCCCGGTTTTCTTTATGTGTAACCTAATGCAGCAGGTCTTAGAGGCAGAGGGGAAGAGGGGCCAGGGAGCCGAGGGACACACGACTGGCCAAAGAGACGCTGGGGGGACAAGAAAGTTCCTTCTCCTTCCAGGTCTGTCTCTCGCGCGGGCGCCCCATGTCTGTCGGTCTAGCTGTCAGTTCAGGTGGTCTCTCTCTCTCTCCCCTCTCTCTCTCCTCTCTCTGTCTCTCTTGAGAAACCACAAGCTCTTCCCGCCCTCACCCTCCCCTTGGAAAGGGCAGCGTAGGGGAAGGCCAGTGGAGGACGGAAATCGAGATAATGCGAGGCAATTTCTCCCAAGGACTCTTCCCAGGTCTCCGGGACTGGCCGCTTGAATGGAAATGGTGGGAGTGAGCGAGCGAACCAGCCTGAATAGTGCGTGGTGTCAGCTTCGGTAATTTATGGCGAAGATTGTTGTCCAGTGAAAACACCGTTACTAATTATATCCAAAAAGGAGTTGGGGAAGTTTTGCGTGCCTGTGGGTGTTTTGGGGGGAGGCGGCGGGAGGGTGAGATTTCTTTGGGAGAAAAGTGGAGGAAACTTAGTAGAGCCTAGATGGAAGGGTCTCAGGAACTGCTAGTTCTGCAGCCCTTCATCGTCGGCGTGGAAATCCTTTCTCCTCCAGCCCAGAGGACTTGAGTGGCAAATCAAGTGTGTTTGAAACGAAAAGGGGACTGGCTGGGTCTGGGACGAGGCGTTTAGTTTTTCTTTTATCTGATAAGCAGATCACCGGGAAGCAAGTTCTTTAGAAAACTGGGAGACTCTTACGAGCAAGTAGAGACCGGGCTGGAGAACAGCTGCAGGCGAACTGCATGCTCTCCAGCTTCCGGGCTGGAATTGAATTGATCAGCCCTTCATTAGGAAAGTTAAAGGGGAGGTTGTTTAAACTTCATCGGGGGTTGAAATTACTTGCGGGTTGTGGGGGAAGTTAAAAAGAGAGAGAGAGAGCTGAGGAGGAGGAGGAGAGAAAAGGAACTTGTTGAGTCTTTCCCTCAAATCAACATACTAACCAGAGAAAGAAATCTGAGGGAGAGAAGAAGGGAGAGTAAGGAGCCAAAATGAAGGGGTAGGAGGGTATGTCCCTTTTGCCAAAGTCTTATTATTTTCTTTTCCCCTGTTGCAGACAACATAGGGGGGCCCGAAGGGAAAAGGGCTCGGACTGCTTACACCCGCTACCAGACCTTGGAGCTGGAGAAAGAGTTTCACTTCAATAGGTACCTGACCCGCAGGAGGAGGATTGAAATAGCACATGCTCTTTGCCTCTCAGAAAGACAAATCAAGATCTGGTTCCAAAACAGGCGCATGAAATGGAAAAAGGATAACAAGCTGAAGAGTATGAGCATGGCAGCTGCAGGAGGAGCCTTTCGCCCTTAAGAGAAATGCCAGCCCTGCTTCTCCCGCCACCCACCCACTCCCCATCCCAGAGAGGGAAAAACAATACAAGTATAAAAACACCACAACAATTCAACAGTATTATATAAGCCCTGACCCTGCCTGGGCACGTCAGTAATTTCTCTTTGCTTAACTTCCCTAGAAGGGCGAACAAACGCTCTGCTGATGTATCTTAATAATCACGAGCCTGTTTAATTGAGCTTCCCCTAGTGCGCTGCTGCGTGTTACAGTAGATCGGCTTCCCTGTGCATTTCTTTGTCTTGAATAGCTAAAATAGATGTTTTAACTTATTTATATGAAGCAAGTGGCGCTACTTGAAGTAACTGTAAAAACAGGAAAAAAATAGTCCTAAGCAAACACTAGAAAAAAAAGGAAAGGAGAAAGGTTTTCTTTCCTTCCTTCCCGCCCTCCCTCCCTCCCTCTCGCACCCCACAATCAGTCTGGTTTAAACCCAGTGTTTTTCTCTGTGTTGTTGCCCTCGCTGTGCTTAACCATGCATGTGTGTTTGAATGTGTCAGTGTATGTATAACTCCAAGCTGTGGCCAAGATTTCCAATCAGAAAAAAATACTACCTAATTCCTGTGTCATTAATGGCTGTTGTAGAGGTAATAATGAAAAACAATCTGAACTTGTCCAAACGTGTAGTGAATAGTGAATCTGTGACGAAAACTGTGATTCCAGACAGTATGTCCTTGCTGTGCCTTTGTATATGACTTTTTGCACGAACTCTTAAAAATGGCTTTTATTAAGCGCAGCTTGGGGGGGGGAGTATAGGGGTTGGGGGGGCTGTTGTTTTTGTTTTGTTTGTGGACAAAGTTACAAATAGAGTCAAAGTCTGACTGTTTGAACAAAAATGTGATTTTTTTTAAAGAAATGTGGATTTTTTTAAAAAAATAACTGACTGGAAAAATAAACTTTCTTTTATAAGAGATCTTCTCCCCCTTTTCTTTCTACTCTGTCTTTTGCCTTTTGAGGGGAGCTGGTCTGTACCCTACAGAGACTCATATCTTGTTCTCAATTAGTCTGGAGACTAAAGTTGGAGAAGAAACTGAGCCCAATAGCAAGTGTGTACTGGAGCAAATATTGCTTTCTGGGTTTAAAGTTGTATAAGAAACCCAAAACTGCCATATTTAGGGGGAAGGAAGATAAAATACCACATAGTTAACTCTTTATCTTTAACAAACAAACAAAAAACCCCAAAACAAACAAACAGGCATTTGCTTTCCTCAACCTCATTTGTAAGAATGTGCTTTAGCTTTCTAGAGTCAGCTAAGGAAAGCTAATTGGCGGACAATTAAAAGTCTCTTCCAAAGACTTTTACACACAATCTACTATCAATTATACTTTCCTTCTCCTTGTGCAATTTTAACAGATTTCAGGGAAAGATTGTCTTAAACCAAATCAAATAATTATGTATTTCTTTGTTTAGCTTTGCTACAATTAATTTTGCTAGAAATGTAACACTACTTACCCAACCCAGGGCTTGAATGGTTAATGCTTCTGAGTTCCTAAGAGTAACTAAAGATCTGTAGATTTACAGGCAAAGCACATTGGTTTCTTCCCTTAAAAGTTCTAAAGCAGTAAACTTTATAAGCCCAAGTTCCAGCTATATGACATTTGGATGCCAAATGAATAGCGTTTTGTCTATGAATTAGATCGTAAAAACATCCATAGCACAGACAGATAGGCTCACTGGCTATAAAAAGTCACGTGGTGCCATTAAAGTAAGTTTTATGGTTCTGGGGAGTTGTCATCCAACATTATATACCACATAACATATAATCACACTGACGCTGGACTTCATTTGACTCTCTTACAGGCTACGTGTGCCTCCTGGTCATTCAAATTGTCAGGGTTTAGGTACAGAAGTATCTCTCCCCCAAGTTCTCACACATTCAGTGAAAAAAAGCGCTTAAGGTAAGTTCTGTGCGCAAGTTGCTTAAGTTTCTTTGTACAGTAGAAAACTCGGCTATAGTTTTGCCGTACTACTTGTTTTGGGACCTTACAGTATTTTGAAATAGTCCAATAATTTCTTCAAGGTGCTGCTTTAAAGACAGGATGATTTTGCCAATCTGCCCCAAATCCTATATAATTTAAACTTTTCTGCAGTTGAGCTGATACATATAAGAATAAGAAACTTTACTGTCATCTTAATCCAGAATCAAACATTACAGTCAAGCAAAAAAAAGCAGATTAAGAGTCTTTGGCTGAGATGGATTTTGAGGTCTAACTTTAATTATGTTGGTTAAAGCAAATGATAATGACTTCCTTTGCTCTAGCAAGGTTTTTTGTTTGTTTGTTTCTATCAGTTGTATTTATGGGTGGAAGAGTCTGCAGGCCAATTGAAAAAGAAAGATTGGGGGGGCATGGTTTGGCTATAAACCTTTTGGAAGAGTCAACAACCCATTGTTATTGGCATGTCTGGAATATTTTCATCTAGATGAAATATTTACATATAACAATAAAGATGTTTTAGTTGATTTTAAATACTGGATTCCTTGGGTCTTCTCTGCCTTTCAGAATTAATCACACTTGCACCTTGTATGTTGTACACAAGTTGTTGTATTTTCTGTGATCTTAATATTTGTACAGGGTATACACAGCACATGTTGCATATTGCCCACCCCAACCATTTTTTAAAATCTTCCTCCTGCTCTTCCTGTTCTTGCTTCCAATATGAGGAAATTGATCATAACTTTAGATTCTGCATACCATTATATCCCCGGAATTACTGAAGACTGTCTAAATTTATAGGGCATAATAAACTAGCCCATTTATGTAGCTAGTAACCTTTCTGTTTTCTCTCTGTTCTCTTTCTCTATTTTACTGACTGGCAATTGTTGAGATAGGCCCCCAGCTGCCTGTTTATTTCAACATCCTTTTTTTTATTTAAGCAGGCACTTCTCACCAGAGTGTGATGGCATAGCAATAAAGTTTATGGCCGGATTTAGATCTAAGTCTTTGAATTTCCACGGTTGAAAGAAAGCATGAAAGAATCTTTAAAAAACAACCTTTTCTTGCCTGCCTGCCTTCTACAGCATCATATCATCAGAACCTAAAAATTCTTACTCTTATAAATTTAGGAAAGCAACTGCTGGGGACACAGTAGCAATTGTATATAACAAACAAAATGAATGATTTTGCAAGTAAACAAGAATTTGTGGGTTTAAAGAGAAGGAGCTAGAAAATATCTGCCTTATGAATCAGGGGGTTTCAGCCTAAGAATTATCGGAGGTTTTCACAGATTCCCTTCCTAAACTCTACCTAAAAATAATTCAGCTGTTGGTCAATGTATATGTTTTTTAGAGTTTTTTCAATTAAATGTCAAATGAGGTTTAATTTTCTATGTCTTAATTTCTTTTTGCACATTATACAGAATTAAAAGCAGTTTGCATAAGTCTTAAAATCTCAGTGGTATCTGGCAATATAATTGAATCTTACCCTATTCTGATTGCTATTTAGAAAGAGACAAATTTGTGGAAGGATGAATAAATATTTGAAGATCTGGAAACTTCTATCATTTTTAGATTGACTCTAATTATCAATATAGGCACCCATTTACATTGTGATCTCTCTTTATACTTATATGAGTTAAAATCAGTGGCATAAAATGTATTGTTATTTGTCCCCTCACTCAGTTTTATGCAGGGATTTCTGCCTGGCTTCCATAGTTAGCTTAATAAAGATGTGCTGACTATTCAGTAATATTTAGTAAGATTTAGAATGGGGAAAAAAGTCATTACTTTACTTTGTGCCCTGCTTGTTTTTTTAAGTAAAATTAAAAGAGAAAGGCCATACAGATTTAATTTTAAAATATATAAAATACAACTCCCCAATCCCACTTTCAGAGAAAGCTAGCTTTTTAGTTGAACAGCATTGCTCTCTGCAGGGTTACTGATGAATTCCTACACATTCAAAAGCAAAGATCCTACATGCCAAAGGGAGAAGTCTCCACATAAAATACTATTCAATCCATAGTGCATTATTTAACACAGCACTTTTAAACTGAAGTAAAATTTTGCTGAGCTTCTGTGTTTTAAATACAGGGGAGAAATTATGCTTAAGCCAGGTGGAGCCTGAGGTTTCTTTTGCCTTGGGTTTCTTTTCTTACTCCTATGTTTACTCTCACATGCGAGGAAGGAAATCCTTCTACAGTCAGGTCTTAAGAACCAAATGTGGTAGTCATCCTTAAGACTATTTACAATTAGGGAACATAATTCCATGACTTAGAGGCTAAAAGTTGTTCAGTTTCTTTCTTGTTAATACTCCTTTTTCCATATCTAGCTATCTACTGAACTAACAATCACTCAGCCAGTACTCAGTGGAAAGATGGCTGAATGAACAGATTGATTTCACAGACAGAGTAGGGAAACATACAATTCTATCAAACTTCTCTACAAATAAGTGACCTTGTGCATTTCTACTTAAAAGTGCATTCTCTTGAACTCAGTGAGATTTAGTTCCATGTTATTTTGCATATCAGCCTACAAATCACAATAAACAAAATTAAATTATTCTAGCCACCTAACTACAAGGGGAGGATCTCAACATGTGCAGGAGCAGAAAACATTTTTCACCCAAAATGATGATTTTATTTTGGTCTGTCTGTCATTTCATACCAGAGCAGCAAGTTGAATAAACAAGCCAAAATACACTCATCTGCTCAAAACACTTATTCCTCCAAAATAAAATACTATAAACCAAATTTTTAAAATGAAGAAGTGTATTTGCATAAATGATGACAATATCATTACTATTTTATTTTTTTATGTTAAGAATAATACTTCATTTTCCTTCACCTTATCAGAAGCTCTTTATGGATATTAGAAAGTCCAATTTTATCAGCTCAAGTAAGAGGTTTTTTTGACTTGGCAAGATAACTGGAAGCTTCCCTGTGCTGAAAGTACAGAGATGGCTTTTGAAATTCACTTGACATTGGATCAGCACGCACCTTCTCTTCAAAGCCTTGTGGCAAAATTATTAGCTCCAGTATGCAAGTGAAAGAAAAACTGCTGATATTTTCTACTGTTTCTATTGAACAGTTTTAATACTAAGGATAACAACTAGAACTCCTGCATCAGATCTTCTGATTTGTCTTCTTCTTTACTTCTAACTTTTCTTTCCCTTGAAAGAAGAAAGCTGTTTTGGGAAGATATAATTCAGCTTTGCACTTTTCTATTAATTCTGCCCATATACATTGTAGACCTCTTTGGTTCTGTAAAATCCAAGTAGCCAGCTTACTTTTCAGTATTTCTTATAAGCAAGTTTTCTCTGGGAGAAAAGAACTACATCTTTCTTGCTTAGAGAGATGCAGTCAATGCAATATAATTACAAAGAAAAAGATATCATACTGTGTTTTGCAAAAATGTGTCTCTTCAGAATCCTGGAATCTGCTCCTCTCATCCTGTTCCTGATCTTCCACAATGGCTTTTCAATAATAATATTTGTTATGGAAGGTTATTGGGTAATTATTGCAGTTTTGTGAAACAGTCCTTGCTCGAGGTGAAGTCTGTCTCTGAATAATAAATGGCAGCTCTTGCAGTTCATTGCCAGGTTAAGTAAATGCAGAAAGGAAGATAAATCTGCACACTCTGAGACTCACCAGCAGAGCTCGCTTTAGACCAAGTTCATAGTCAATTTGCTTTTCTTTGGGCAAGGCTTCACAAATCTACTGGATCAGTTCTTCAGTGTTCTTTTTATCATAATTACTATGAAAAAGACTTGGTAAAATAGCCAATATCTTAATATTATTTCAGAACCAGACTTTACCCACAGAGGCTACTAGCTCCATTCAATGTAGTCTGCTTTTTTCAGCAGTGGTGAAATGTCTTTGGAAAGTGATCTTAGGTTTTGCTTACAATGATAGACTTTTTAAAGGACTTCTCCTTTTTCTTCTTTTTAAGAACACCACATTCCTCTAGATTCTTAG